ACATCTAGAGGATTTCGATTAGTTTGGTTCACAGATTATACTGTGATAGTAGAGTATCTTACTGCGACCCGTGTAGTTTTGCTATACGTTCTTGCAATGGGTGAGGATTTTCTGTATTTCCGATGCCTTCGATAGTGATGACATGCTTCCCAACGACTGTAATTCATTAACTTTGGAAGATCGATGCGTGATCATGAATAATTACCTCCTATTAAAGGGAACAGACAAGCGTTCACGGCAACGTGCTTTATCTTTTGGCCTTCGGAAGACTTTTTAAAAGTTTGAAGCACAACAGTACACGCTCCGCATCCTCCTTCACCACATCCAAGCTTTGTACCCTTGAGATCATCCTGGGACCTGATAAAATCTAAAAGTGTCCATTGAGGATTTGGGTTATGGAGGTTTATCCTTGTTCCATTTAGATAGAATTCCAATGTAGAATCTTGGAAAATTGACTGAATTTCCGATTTTAATGGTAGAATTCCCATAGTTGATGAATGTGCAAAGTCGAGTGCAACGATGAGCCAGAAGACTGGGGGAATTTTGTTTGGAAAGCCATTTTGCTCGAGTGGCTTGATACAAAATCAAGCACTGCACAGCTGATAAATTCGGATTGGCTACTCAAGTTGTTGAGCAATGAGGATGGATGATCATGTCTTCAAAATGGATGGTGTTGTATATGCAGGGCGACGTATTGGTGGTAGTAAGATTGCTGGTGCTGGGCATGAACGATAAGCTTAGTGCCAATCCGATAGGCTATCACGTAAGCTACTAGCCCCCTAAGAAGGAAAACCATCAGCACGACAAACCGCTCCACAGTCCACTCCATCTCGTATCCAACCACAAACGATCATTTTATCATCAACTCGCATTCGTGCATGCAGGACCACGATAGCTTGATTATATACTGACTTGAATGTCGAATAATTCCTTGGGAGATGATGTATCCCACATGGAAAAGAGTCTGGAATCTGGATGTCCTTGGAAAGCTATGAGGACCAAGTCAACACTCATCATGTCGTGTGCGACGCACATTGGAGGTGCTGCCCTCTCACCTGAAAGCTGCCGGAAGATACTAGTGCACCATCTAGAAAGTATATAACTCCGAAGCTAGATGCACATACCACAAGATGGCAAACTACGAGAAGAGTAACCTTTATATCTTAGCGGCGGAGTTGCATGATTTCTCGCAGCACGAGTTGTAAGTTCCATAATAATGTTCATTCTCAAGTCCAATGATATGGATTGCTATATCGTAGTCCGATGTCATTGTTCAAGGAGGGGTCGAGTGCCCACAATTTGGATGAAAAGGGAAGGAACATGTGTGGTGCTTGCTTTTTAGATGAGAGGCACCTTATCAATCTCAAAGTTCTCCACAGCCCGCCATAGTCCTTGTACTGCACTATCTTTTATTTGTCTTTGATGCTTTACTTTTCCTTTTGAGTGCAGCTCATATCGCAAGTCGTTTGGCAGACTCCATGAGGTCTACCGTGTGTAGTCTCCACTATTTTTTGATCAAGCATGGACTCAGGTGCAGTGAACTTTCATGTATTATGTATTGAATATTGTAAGATAATATAACACAAGGTACATTGCAACTGTAGTGCATTTGGCAACGACCGTCGATAAAGTGCCACGATTGCGCTGTTTCGACACCCTAACGGAGCTGATTCCGTCAACCCGAAGAATTTTGTTTGGTCGGCTTTTCTTTCTCAGTCGAGGAATGCCACTGGGGTCGGGTAGGGCATAATTCTGTTCTTTAAATAAAGAGTAGTCAACTTTGATACCGGAGGATCTGTCCAGATATCCTCCGGTCAAGTTCTGTTCATGAAGGAGTGAGCCACTCAGCCAATAGTCATCCATCTTTATTCGCTGTATAGAAAAGGATAAACATAGAACATGTATAATATTGAGACGTCTCTGGTGATCATGAGAGCGTGATCAATCATTTATTCTGCGATCTCATACTACACATAGGCCCAGAAACGTAGTCCTGCAGAGTTAGCTACTTGTGCCGCAAAACATGAGGGACATCTTCACGGTCCAATCAAGTACCTAGAGATACACATGGTAGGTGTTCTCTTACTCAGGGTGCATCTGACTCTATTCATCCTTCGGGTAGCAGCTTTGTTTGTTGTTTAGGCTTTTGGCTGGTTTTAGATCGCTAATATTTGATATCTATTTAAAGATATTCTGCTGCTCCATTCCCGTATGGCAGTGTTTTTATTTACTTCTCAAATAATTAACCTCACAATCAACTTTTCAGAAATTCACTATAATAGTCCTCCAGCCACTTTGCAACCTCGGCTCCAGCATCTTCATTTCCGTCACCAGACATACAAAACCTTTTGAGGGAACCAACATATCCATCAGGTCTAACATTCAAAACAACGATCTCATCATCTCTGACGTCGCCTACCCACTTATGCGTATAGCTTCCTTTATGAGAGTGAGAATCTCCAGCATCTTGAGGAATATCGTCCACATAGATTGTCCAGCTGCTTTCTTGCAAGCTTATTGGTAAATCTGCAATCTCGAACTTCTCTTTGTTCATCTCCGTCACCAATGCGTATGTAAAAAACTTACTTACACCTATGTATCTATTTGGTTGAATATATTCATCCGATTCCGTCTCTTGTGGTGTATAAGAATTTGCGGCTGCAGAAGTGTGATCGAGAGTTTGTGTAAGATTGGAAAATCTTTGGAAAATATGCCCTAGACAAGCAGACCACCTATGAACGTCTGATAGGAAGAAGAATATGCGAAATTGCCCAAACAGAGGAATTTCAAGCTGTAAATCGACAGGATTTGCATCAATATACCTAGTCACCCTAGCGGGTGGCAGCAGCGCACCAGATCGCAATACACCACTACTTCTCTCGCCGCTTAATCTTAGCTTAGATTCTTTGCGTTGTGTTACTTCATTGGCAGCTTCTGCGTTCAGAACATTCTTGCCATATTCCGCCAGTCCAGAAATAAACCTGATGTTTTGCGCAAAGTTCTCGGCAAGCGCTACGGGATCTCCGGCAGAGTAAGCATTGGCATGTTCGAAATCAAACGCGAGGAGATCTCGAGCAACAGCCTGTCGTTCTTGCGTATATGTTTCCAAAAGAGAGGGGAGCGCGATATTTTTGATGGTAAGGGCCAATTTCCATGAAAGATTGAAGGAGTCATGCATCGATACATTCATGCCCTGCGCGGCTTTTGGGGAGTGATTGTGTGCAGCCTGTTCTGCTATTAGACTCAGATGAACAAGTAAGATAGTGCATGGCCACTTACATCTCCAACAATAAAAACCCGCTGTGTATCATCTGAGAAGCGTTTGGCCGCTCGCTGTCCAAATTTATATACAGCAAACCATTCTATAAGGTTAGTAGTCTTGAAAATCGCTAGGGGAAGAAAGCTCTCTCACCAATACGCTTCCACGTCAATTTATATGGACTGAAAATCTCCTCGGCTCTCTTCATCACAAAATCTTGAACAACTTCTTTGGAGTCCTCCTCTGCTGTGTCCTGCAACTCAATATAGAGTCTCGTCATATTTCGCTCCCTTGGAATGGAAAGAATCGCTCCTTTCTCCGATTGAACTATAGTCTTACTCCATAGATCCGGAAATTTCGTTTCAATTACTGCATCCAAGATGCCCCACACACTCCCACTCTGATCTCCTTCCATATCTGCACCATCAATGCATTTTCTTACATTCGAATGCGCTCCATCGCATCCTACAAGATATTTTGATTTCAAAAGCTTATCCTCACCTGTTTGGGTATCTTTGTACTTTACGACTATATCCTCAGTTTCAGAAGTCGGCTGTACGAGTCCAACGAAAGAAGAATTTCTTTGTACCTCAACTCCTCGGGCTCTCAGATCCTGAATAAATACATCTTCAATCATTCCTTGATGAATGAGTAGAAGGTTCGGATCCAACAAATCGACTATATCTTTTGGGTAATGAATTTCTCTAGCCGTACGATGAAGCTTTTCCTCCACTGTGGATTTCTATTCATTGTTAATTTTTCTTTGCGCAATCAGAGACTTAACCGTGAAGTACTTACCCAGTAACAGATATCATACACCTTGACCCCTCTCTCAAGTAAAGAATCCGCAAGACTGAGCTGTTTGAGCGTCTCAATGGTTTTAGGTTGCAGGCCATCGGCTCGGCCGGTTGCAGTTGAAGAAGGTCTGTCATCGAGAATAGCGACCTGGATTCCGTAGCGTGCAAGAGTACAACTTTGTTCTGTCAGTGAGGTGTACATAGGGGGAATTACCGGACTCACTCACGCTAGCATAAGACCTGCTGGGCCTGCTCCGATAACAGTCACCTGATTTACAATATCCATGGTATTCAGCAACGTCGTATCGACCTATTTAGAAATAACTTTGAAAATAGTAGAATTCGATAATTCAATTTAATCGGAATACCTCCGTTAACCATAGGCTTAAAGAGATATAGCAAACGACGACCCAAATGTAGCACATCAAAATCAAGTCCTTGTCAAGTTCCCCAGATAGGAAGATTGTCTAATTTAGCGCCGAGTCCATCATCACCTATCAATTTTGCAAGAGTCAAGCTTCGGCATTGTGCATCATGTAATGCCAACACATGGTCTTTCCGACGTTCTTGCCCAATCAAGAGAGGTCCTGCGCGGGTGAGGGGCAACGCCACTAATGAACTGGGCGCTGTGGCGATCAGATAGGCGGGGTACATATGCCTTGATCATTGGTGAGCTTGTGCTACGATGTAACTTATCGGTGATTTATCGTGCATATCTTAATGATATTGAAGAAGTCCTGGGGACATTATCGTGAAACTTATCTTTTTTGGAATGTCCAGCTACTTGATTATGGAATCCCGTTGAGAATCATCAAACATCAGTCCTTCGATATTAGAATATACGATATATATGATATTTCATCATTAGATACTGCTTTGGCCGTTTTATTATTGTTTTGTCACTGGACGCTACTGAATTAGATTCATATGTTTCAAGTACCATTATGTCTTTCTCAGCTCCAGTGAAAGAGAAAATCATCCGCAATGAAGAGAATAAGCTGAAGGTGACTTCCATCTTGACTCCTGTATTTCAGTATTTGTCGATAGTACTAAACATAAAGCAAGGTGATAATAGTCGGCGCTGGTCTCGGTGGTTTAGGCGCTGCAATTGCAATATCTCTCGCCGGTCATTCAGTTACCGTCCTCGAATCTGCCCATGAGATAGGAGAGGTACATTATAATTTCCTCCGTCCCAAAACCACCATTCCGTAGCCCAAAAACGTATCAATTGACTAATTTCCACCTCGGGGCTTACAGGTGGGTGCTGGCATCCAAGTTCTCCCTCCCACATCTCTGATCCTCCGTGACTGGGGATTGCTCCCTTATCTCTCTGCTCACAGTACCTCCCCAACAAAAGTCAACATGATTTCGTGGAAAGGAAACTTAATTTCATCCATGGATTTTAGAGAGAGTGCGGCACAATATCCGGGCTCCGTGTATTGGGATTTTCATCGTGCGAATCTACATAGAGGACTGTATGAACGAGCGTTGGAATTAGGAGCTAAAGTGAAAGTAGGAATGAGAGTTGTAGACGTGGAGATTCTAGAGAATGGGGCTAGAGTTATTGTTGAAAAACGCAGAAGTGAAAAGAGAGAGGAGGAAGAGGAGGGAGATTTGACCGCGGATCTAGTAGTTGGTGCGGATGGAATATTCAGTAAACTGCGAGAAGTGATGTTAGGACGAGAAGACGAGCCACATTTGACAGGAGACTTGGCTTACAGGTTGTTGTTATCTACTAAGGATATGTTAGCCGACGAAGAACTGGCGGATTTCGTAAAGAACCCGCAAGTGAATTATTGGATGGGTCCAAAAATGCATGCTGGTAAACATCTTCCTCTATTCCATCTCGGAATTTGCTGGGATGCCATTGAATTGACATGTGTACTAGTGAACTATGTCCTTCGAGGCGGGGAATTGTTCAATATGGTTCTTCTCGTTCCAGACGATATGCCAGCTGGTGCCACAACCTTGGAAGGCAACGTGGAGGAGATGCGTGCACTATTCAAAGATTGGGACCCAAGGTAATTACCGGCTTCTCCCAAGATATTGCCCTTGGTGATACTTCTTCATTCATTGACTTTGGCCCAGAATTCCAAAATTGCTCGGCATGTGTGGGTCTGTGTATAAATGGCGTCTTTGCACTCGCCCTGGTCTCGACAACTGGAGCCATCCCTCCGGCCATTTCACTCTTCTTGGGGATGCGGTCCATGCTACGCTTCCTTATCTTGCTTCTGGGTATTTTAAATTTTTCCTTTTCTAATTCTCGGTATTGCCGTGATTCTTTGGAGGTGTGTTCTTGCAAATATAGTCTATTTGCAATGATCACTTGAATCTTCTAGCCTCTTATTAGTTGAGAAACTCATCTGATTTTCACTACCAAAATTCTTCCGTGCATGATCTGAACTTCAAAAACCCAATCGTTGTTTCGTCATCCCATCTCATTTTCTATCGCCATCAAAGACCTAACCCCTCGACAGCGCAGGAATGTCACTCGAAGACGCCGCTGTCCTCGGTGAGCTCCTCTCCCACTATCCCAATTCCTCCTCCACCGTTCCTACTACATCGAACCTCAAGTCATCCTTCCTCCGACATACCCTCCCCATTTATCAAGCCCTGCGTGCACCTCGTACTCAAACCGTCGTCGAGCGAGGAAACATCCAGCAATATCTCTACCATCTTCCAGATGGCCCCGAACAAATTGAGAGAGATCGGAAGATGCGACAGCAAGAAGAGGGAGAAGCTTTGGCATGGAGAGATAAGGGGCTTGCGCCATGGTTGTTGGGATACCGGGTTTCGGATGCGGTGAGTGATTCTGATTTTGGCTTCATTTCAGTTTGAGTTATGGAATGAAAGACTGATAATCTATCTCAGGTTGAAAAACTGTGGGTCCCTTTCAGAGAACAAGCTGAGGATGAAATCGGGATGAATAATGAGGCTAAGAACGACCGAGAAAGTCGAGATGCTAGATTATGATATCAAAAACACGTGTATATATATATAATTGCCTTCATTATTCAATCCAAAAATATCCGAGACGGTATACGTGAAAGCTTCATCAATGGCTGAACCAGAGCTACGGTGATTATGAATGACTATAAGTATCACAATCCAGGCTAAAGTTCCTAAATTTCCTAAATTTAAGGTAATTCCCTGAAAACTCCTACCCTGTGGAAAAACTAATAACGGAAGTTCTGAATGCGTTGAAATATCTCATATGGCATGCGGGCGGTTTATTCATCGCTGCTTGACCAGGAATTTCTGGATGTAGGTCCCATGGAGCCACCTAATCCTCTATCAAGTTTCTGCACATGTGCTAATGATTTCTCAGTTGCAGCCTTGACTGTTCACTTGGAGAACTGCACTAGAACATTACCTTGGATGCGAATACACAGTCTCGAGAAGAACCTGACTTTGAAGCTCCACCTCACCAGGTAGGCTTCAGTCGGCGACCCTCCGTCGAGTTGCTGGAGATCTTAATGAGGCCACTTTCTATTGAACGACTGAGTCCTAATCGTTGTATTCTGAAATCTCCCCGCGAAACTTCTCGAGTCAACAAAATATCCACAGTTCGTTTATATTTCTCCCATTCACTTGATCGGGAGTTCTTATTGAAGGAATGATCATCACAGAATTACACAGCATTCACATCTCAGCCTTCCAGAAGATTTGTTTAAAAAAGGTATCATTGTCGCTAGTGAAAAATGTAGTTCAATACACTCATTCCATACATCCATCCATTCATCCATCCACATAAACACTTTTATAACCAACGCTATGCCTTTGGCTTACTCTTCAATTGCAACAGATTAAATACCTTCACCATCTGATAATGACACAGGAAGAGATAGGCCCACCATTCCTACCGAATTCCTGCGACCATGAACCATAGTTCGTATACACCAAATAGAGAATCCAAAACATGGATATGTATGCACCGAAAATTAAAAGGATATTATACACGTGTAAAGGTTCTCCATGCATCTTGGTAAAACTTTGTTAAAACTCATCATTCGTAATGGAAGAAAGGAATTTCTATCGAAGGAAGTACATGATTTGTGAAGCACATCATATCTTGCTCACAACCACGTTAAGACAATCCAATACCTGTAATCTGTCAGTAAGTGCAGTGTGATAAAGTTTTGATGAACTTACCCCCTCGGCAATGACTCCTTGGTTGTAAAGATGCTTGCTAATTCCTTTAACCAGCTCCATCTGTTCTTCTGGTGTCAAACCGTTAATCACTGTTTCGATGACACCCCCAAGTGAGACTTTGTAGATAGCAATGAAGCTGTGAAAATAAACGTAGGCGAAGAAACCCATGATAAATTGACAATCCATACGATCAGTAATTCCACCGTGTCCAGGAATCGAGTCGCCAAAATCCTTGATTTTGAAAGTCCGCTTGAGTCCAGAAGCAAAGAATCCGCCAAATGGTGCAATGAGTGATGCAAAGGTACCAAAGACAAGGATATGACCCTGCATGGGTGCCATGGAGAATGATTTCCAGACTGGAAACCAGATGGGAAGTTGATAGGTATGAGGCAAGAAAACTGGGTTTGGAGTACACTCAAGACCAGTCCAGAGGTTGGCGCCAAGATCCTGTCGGGAGTTAGTGGCCGTACGAGTTTCTGAGTGAAGACTCAACTTACATTTACTGGGCAAATGAAATATTTGTATCGCATGAGGACATTAGTCATACCGACACCGAAAATGATTGTCAGAATCCAGGCACCAACAAATCCTTCCACGGTTTTCTTGGGTGAGAGTTTAATGAGCTGTGTTCGACCGAATGTGATACCGCAGATGTAAGCAAATATGTCATTGCAGATGACGAGAGATACTGGAAGGAAGAACCAAATCATTCCCTCAAAAACGTTGTTCATGATGAAATGGGCTTGAACCACAATAAGGTAAAGGGCCATGTGAGTCCAGGCAAATTGCGTAAATTGGAACTTGTAATGTCCGGCCTGGAGAGAAGCGACGAAGAACACAAACCCTTCACACTGTTAGCATTGCCCGATTTCTTTCTCCTAAGATATTCTCCCTACCAATGGTATAAAGCATAAAGCTGATGAATCTGTGATGTGTCGCAAAGGGCAGCAAGACTTTATCGACCAACACAATGTGCTTGAAATAGTAAATCACACTCTCGCCATACAAGAAGTACATCGTCGTCGCCAACCAATACCAATTCAACGCCTTGGTGAAACGCAATCGACGAGCTCGGCTGGGAACGTTTGCAATCGCAATGACTTCCTTGAACGATATTATTTGTACTGCGGTGACAATCGCAATGATGTATATGTGCCCCATGAACATAGATGCAAAGAAACCCCCAATCATCACAAATGTCCATATTGATCGTGTAATAAATGTCTGCTTCTTCTTCTCGTATTCTGACGGCACAACTACATTGCTCTGCGGTCCAAAGTCATTAGCCAGCGCCCCAAGACAATGATAGATGCGCATATCTCACCTCCTGGTTTTTCTCATCGCTTGCACCATCTGTCTTCGAGATCTTTGGAGAGCTTGGCTCCGAGGCGGCCTCGCTGATATCTGAGAAACTGCTTCTGCGACCATCACTGCCGGCGCGACCATTTCGATGGTTGAACTTGATTCCCCTTGGTTTTGTCATCTTTGCAGAGCTCAAGAAGTACGAGTTTGCAAATTCTAAAGAGGTCTTGGCGGTGCGATTTTCCTCTTCGTCCTTTCAATTATCCGTGTCGCCAAATCCCGGATGCGTCAAGAGTGTCTTCTAGTTCCACCACTCCACATTCATAAAGATAAGTTATGCTTGAAGTAGGACTGCGCCGAAAGCAGAATCAAGTGATATGGTGAGCTTCGTAAAATTAGTTGAGAATGGGGTGGTCCTGAAGTGGGTGTACTTTTTTGGGGGAGTGATAGGAAGTTGTGGCTCCTCTTTGCTCCTACGTCAGCCAAAAAACCCTGGAAAATCAGAGTGTTTGCTTGTGATATTCGCGTCAATCGAAGCCTGATTCTAGTGAAGGAAAGCAAGAAAAAAATGTTCAATTTTTCTATTTACAATGGATTGGGAGGGAGTTCATTCGTATCATTCAAATTTTCAAAGGAGATTCACTTCATGCAAACATCAATACTACCCATCAATACTCGTGTTATTTACCAGGTACCTTTTATTGTTGGTCTACGAGTCTGGTCCGTACCAGTACTAGCAAAATAATAAAGCAGCATTTCAAAGAAATTGCTGTTGCTCCACAATTAAGTGCGCAGATGGATAATTTAGTTCCGATTTCCGAAAGGCGGTGGCAGAAACTCGCAAGGCTGTGGCTGTATTCTAGTAATATTAATTCGAGTCGAGTTCAACATTTGGATTGATAAATTACCTACAAATAATTGCCACATCAATGTTTTCAGATAGTTTGATAATTATAGGGATGGAATGGCTCCTCACGAAGATGGAGAAAACAACTTCTCCGATGATGATTTCCTCAATGATATACCAGCAGATGCCCTAGACGCACTCGAGAATAATGCCATAGCATTTACCCAAGCCCAGATTAAAGCCCCTCCTTCTTCTGATTATGGGGATGAGTTTGACGACGATGATTTGGATGATGCGGTCGTTATAGATGAAGCCAGAAGTGCCCCTGCGGTTGTGCCTTATATACCTCGAAACAATGTCAATCAAGCTGTTCGGCAAGAACAATTTCAACAGCAACTCTATGGAGATACAGATATTTTGAATAGGCCAAGAGATTACATTGGGCCTGCTCGTCCTCGACAACCAGAACACTTACCACAGCTATTTTCAAATCCAATCTCACGAGAGAACTCTAACCTTTCTCGGCCGACGACTCAATCGGTAGCGGACGGTGACAATGAGGCACTTAGAAAACTAGTGCAGGAGGTACTTCTGGTCGCAAATTATCGTCTTGAATAAGGTCACTGACTACTTTTCAGTTACAACAAAAAAACAAAGCTCTCGAGCAAGAGACTCTATCGAAAAATGGCGAAATCTCAATTCTACGTGGTAAAATAGACAAATCAGAAAAGGAATATGAACGCACACAAGCAGCGAGAGAGAAGTTACACGCGGAACAGTTGGCAAAGCTACAAAAAGATAGAGAAGCGGCTGAACTCGCCGCGAGAAATGCTACAATCGAGCGTGATTTCACGAAGCAAGATTTATTCGAAGAGACCGAAAGAGTCAAAAGGTTAAATAAAGCAAAAAATCCTAAGGATGCACAGGTTATGACCCCGAAGAAGACAAAGTCAATGCCATTTAGGGACGGCTTTGATGATGACGAGATTGAGCTCCTTTCTCCTAGCAAGACATCCCCATTGAAATTTCAAAAACGGCAACCTGGCACGCCTTCGAGAGCAGCAAAGCGGAAACGCAAAGCTAATGACAGCCCTTCAGCTAGTGCTTTAGATATGCTACCTGTTCCAGATCTACTTTCAGAACCACAGAAGGCTCCATTGTTGGATGAATCGATATTAGAGAGACTTGTCCTACAGGATGACCGATCGGATTTTCTTGCGGCCATGCTAGATCACCGACCGAACCGTGATCACTTGAGGACTCTAGAAGCATTTGGCAAGCATTCTCTACCATCATCCCCAGATGAATCTTTTTCATCCCTGATTCTTGGAGAAATGCCCAGGATCGGTATGAAAAAGCCTATTTCCGAAGTACCGGCTGAGTTTTGCTTGTTCCTAATACAATTATGGTCTAAGTGCATGGATGAAAAATGTTACACTCCGATTTATTTATTTGTTGACATTCTCACCTTTGCACTTGAGTTAAAAACGCTCTCGATTGTACCGCATATCATTGATCAACTCATTCCCCTGGCGCAGAAAACAGCTGATCTTGTCGCAATTCCTCGTTTCAATGGCGACCCTTGCGATCCTTATGATAAAGACATTAATGTATCCGCTTGCTTAGCTCTCACTCACCTCGCTGCTCTAGGCTGCGTTCCTGAACAAGAACATATAACCAGATTTTGGAAATTGATGAGATGGGACTTTGTTCTTCTTATGCTTAGTCAAAATCAACCACCAGCAGATTTCGAGTGGATGCTGCGAATTTTGTCTACTGGTGTTCTGAAAGATACTTTTGGTAGCAATCCAGTCGATAACCCGAGGTTTAAACCATCCACAAACGCTGGTCACATTATAGAACGTCTAACATACCCACTATTCGAGGTGCCTTGCCAACCTAACAGTGCGGCTAAAGCTGATCCTGATGTTGTCCTTAAATTACGCCTTCAGATCATATCCTTAATGACTGGTATGACTCGATCGCCCTATGCTGGAAATGCACTTGCTTCCCATCCAACTGCGATCGGTAGACTCATCAGTTTAATAAGCGATGAATTAGATGGCTTATATGACCATAAATCAGGTCGTGAGGATAGGTACGAGATTCTTCAAATTTTGCGACTACATCACTAACAATCCCCAGCGCCCGTCTCATTAGTCTTGCAACTCGTCTTTTATTTCACTTGGTCACTCAATATGAATTCGATATGCAAAAGAAGTTGTCAGTCATTCGCGGCGGGTCACAAAAGTATCTTCTTTGTCTGGCTAGATTAAATTTTTCAGAGGATGATTTAGTTTTCGAGTCAGGCATTGATCCAGATATCCCTGGGTGCGCATTAGAAATGTTAGAGATGATGGTTACGCCCGAAGAAGGAGAAGCGATACAAGAAGCCCTGTCGAATGTATAAATGTTAGTCTGGTGTATTTTTATGGCATGCATGATGGTATTCATATTGGAGTTGGCTTCTGGTTATAATGGATTTGGGTTTAGCGAGGCGCTGTGGACTTCTTTTTCCTTGATCTGACACCCGTTATTGGTGATTTGATTGAGAACATACCATTGTTGACTAATGCAAATATAAAACAAACAAACTCTCTTATGGAAGAATTCAAGAGCAAGAGTATGAGTGTATACAAAGTGTGGTTTCGATCAAGGTCTAGAATCTCTTGCTCTTTACAGTTGGGTATGTGTTACTAGGAGAATTTGGTAAGTGACCCAGGAGAGAATTGGAGTTAGATTCGAGAACGGGAATCACCGCTCAGAATTTTCAATGTCATTGTTGAAAACACGTGTTATATCTACGCTAGTGCTAGTTTACACGCTAATTATGATTGATTCTATCTTGAGTGCGAAAATGTCATTCGCTTTGGGGTGTGGCGAGATGCTTGGATTGGAATTTGAAGTTATCGAGTTTTTGTGAGATTTTGATGTTTTGAAGGAGTGAAGGAGGAGTGAAGATTTACTTACTGGGTGAGAGATAAAGAGGCAAGTTGCTTTTACAGGTGGTGTCGCGATTTGCAGCATGAATCACTGGAGTCAGGATCAGGCCAAAACTGACTACGCGGATATTTTCAATTTCTCTAGACAATCGCAGCAGTCGCATGACTTAAATTGATTTCCTCAGAGGTATCTTCGCTTGTGGTATCCAAACTTTCATTTGCTATCGATATAGACAATATCACGGCTAGTGCCGCATATTCAAGCTATGGAAGGAGGACATGAGAACAAAGAGATTTTCTTGGAGCATTGTTTCTTTTTGAGGAAATTTCAAGCTTTCGGTTGAGTGACATGCTTGGTCTATGCTAGTCGTTGATGTTAGGATTATTGGGGGTGTTTGATTATGGAGATCTCCGCGAGGTCGTCATTGTTTTGCAAGAGTTTTTGCTTTGAAAGTATGGGATTCGTTGCATCAGCCGCCTATCGTGGTGTTTGCCATTTACGAATCTTTGTCTATATTCAATAGGCTTCTGCTCGTTTAATGGCTGGCCATCTTAAGAAGTGTTCCCTACTCAGGCGTATCCATTCAGACATCTCAACTTCTTATAACTATATTATTCAACAACATTAATTTATTTCTCCCACCAAAGTTTGACATTCTTTTCAAACATCGATATGAGTGACGGCAGCGAAATCTTTGCCCTATCACCCGAAGTTCTTGCAAATACCCCCGCTTTAGAGCCGCCGCCGGGCGTAACGGCTCTGTCTGACAATCCAGAAAGCAGGGGATACATTCTTATCGTTATTAATACTATCATGACCTTTGCAATGACAGTATGCTTCATCATTCGAGTATATACGAAAGTGGCGATCCTGCGAAAAGTCTCTTGGAGCGATTGTTAGTTTACTCTTTTCCTTATTAGTCTGTTGATCTTGTTTCAGGAAGCTGATTGAATCATAGTCCTTCTACTGGTTTGCTATGTAAGTGGCATCCTATAACTATGCTTCACAGCGTGAACTTAACATCTCATTTGCCTACAGCTCTTTGCCGTGATACTTTTTATTACATGGACAATATGTACGCTTCTATTTCTTTTTGGCAAACTATGCACTGACATCTAATTAGTGGTGATTCCCGGTGGTAATATTGGGTTTCATCAATGGGATGTATCGTTATTGAATATAATATCCAAACGGAACTTAGTGGTATGTCTTGATTTATTTCATCAACTTCTGCATGACCATTTTCTGTCGAACTTGTCACTTATATTCCTAGGCATTATACATGAATCTCATTTTCCTTCAGCCCGCTTTGGGCACTATGAAGCTCTCTATATTCATCACGTACCTTGAAATCTTTCAGGGTTTACGCTGGATGCAAATCTGCGTTTACATCGGTGCAACATTCTCTACCGCTTTTTATCTAGCGCTCACAATTGTACAATTTTACGCCGCAACGCCCGTCGGCGGAGGAAGATTTGCTAAGATGATATTCATGCCCCGTTTTGCCCTACTAAAACGCATCACATTTGCAGTGACTGGTATTGCATTAGCCATTGATATATACCTTTTTGTCTTACCGCTTATTGCGGTCAGTAAGCTCCGTATACCGACGAGAAGGAAGATTTTTGTGATGATAGGATTTGGTATAGGATTATCGTAAGTCTGAACTTCTTTCGACCCACCGAAAAAGGTCTGTTTACTGAAAATGCCGTGATAGCGCTTGCATTTGTGCTGCACTAAGTTTTGTGTATCGTTACATCGATCACTGGAGTACCGATACTACATGGACTTCTCTCCCAGTCATTGTCTTAACGTCAGTACACACTCTCTCCGAGTATTCCACTAATGACGAACAGCGCTGATTTCAAAATAGATCTGTCGAATTATTCTGCGGCATTATAATAGCTTGTTTCCCGTCGTTGCTCCTTTTTTTCCGCAGACACTACGAACATTTTGCCAATGCGGGCGCGGCTTTATTGTCCTGGTTGCGTTGTGACCGACACAGGAAGTCAGATACAACAACCAAGGAATCTCAGTATTCAAGTTATCCTTCCGAACGAACACCAGCCGGTGAAGTAAATCTTTACCCCGATCTTGACTTCTTGACAACGCCTGGAGACATTGAGCGTACCGCCTTGGAAAAGCGAATGGAGAATAGAATTGGACTGGATGTGATCGCCGTGTGATGGGGTCCCAAGCGTTCGCGTATTTTTCGTTGGTAATATCGCTGCCATGGAGTGTTGTTAATGGATAAAATCATCATAATTTCTTCTTCTGCGTTAACACAGACTGCTCTGGTCGATCTATAGACTACAATGACGCAGGACTCGCGTGAGGCAATCTTCAGAGATCACGGGAAGCTTTGGGATTGCCTAGTCCAATGTTCTAGATAGTTTCAACTACCTTCTATGGACTGAAAACTCTGATGTCATCGGAAGGTTCTTGATATCTGCGAAAGGTGTATATAAAAGGTTCTGTTAGAAGAAATTCTGAACGTGCACCACAAGGTTAGCAACAGTGCTTTGAATGAAAGCCCTTATCCTTCAAACGAGAGGAGGCATGCAGTCCTACTGACAAACTCGAATCCGCCAAGAGCACAAGCACAAGCATGAATATCAATTCATTTGTAAGATTACAATTTGTTGTGTTTGAGTGATTTCATCAAAGTATCACAACAGACAACTCCCTAGCCTAAAGTACAGTCGCTTTAGGTTGAATTCGGGAAATCTCTATACAAACCATCTATCATATCTTCGAAAAGTAGAAGTATCTACTTTCTCAAAAGTACTCCATTTTTCCCACTAAAATCACATTATAAAGTCGAAACAAAAGAGGACTGGCAAACAGTCGAGTAGACGCAAAAGATTCTTGTCTTCTAACATCGATTTACTAGCTCCGAGGAGACAAAGCTGACATCGTAAAGAGTCATCGTTGCAATGTTTTCCAATTATTATTTAATTATTATTTCAGCAAACGCACTTTATAATCACTTTGAATAAGTGATGAGTGGACGGATTCATGAGTCGAATGACGATAGATTCGAAGTTAGTTTATATAATCAACTTTCTGAAAGAAATAGGTTCACGTTCAGGATAGGATATTGAATGTCTTGCAAGTATCGTGTCATAATTTATTTTGTGATAATAAACTACTTTTACCTGCAAAAGTCTTGTTCTAAAAATTCACAGCATATGTATCCCATGTCTGTAATTGGCATCCCTGCCAAAATCTCATATTCCAGATCTTATTCCCGCCGTCTCAAATCCCAATATTTTTCCATCAAAGACGCCTTTCATGAAATCGTTCAAACCATAGGAGCATTCCTCCCTTCACCACTCAATGGACCCTGACGAACAATCGAAATCTGCACCGATCTCAAGATTCCTCGTTCCTCATCAACACACTTCATCTGCGAATTACCCCCTTCATTTCTCATCCCCGTAGCCGTCGCTGTATTCCCCAAGCTGACCGTCGAAAAAGCAGCATTATGTCCCTCCCACTCCTCTAACACATCGTAGCTTTCTGACCCCCTCCTCTCACCCCTTGTCCCCGACGGCATCCTGCGATGTTGATTCCAGGAAGAATTATCACTCCTCTCCTTCGACTCTTTAGACTCGACAGACGAATTAGAAGACTTCGAGAGCGAAGAGACAAAACTACACATTCTCGACACGCGGGGTATCTGCGACATCGTTTTGAAGAATTTCGGTAATGTCGGTAGACAGCTTGTGATGATACCGGCTCCTAGCTCTACATATGAGGGAATACACATGATACTCGTGTACCAGGTAGCGTCGGGATTCTTCAGTAGTTTTAATGAAACGAATAGTCGAGCCATGGATGCTATGCAAGCCCTGGAGATAAATTAGTAAAGGGGGACGTGTATGTACCAATACCTATGAACTTACAGAAGTCCCGTTGAGAAAACGGCGGAGACGCCAACGTGTTCCTTGAAGCTCATCTGTAGCTTCCAAATGATGGGTTGTGGAAGCAATATAATAAGAAAATCGGTTATAGTATTCGCCGTCCCAGTCGCTAGGAACAGATAATTCACATCAAGACAGTGACCCGTGGTATCCAGTACGTTCCAAAACTTTGGTATAGGGGTACAAATGAAAATCGTCATAAACAACAAGATCGTATAGAATACGATAGTTATCCACATAAGTGCATGGCAACTCCAAAACATCAAATCTCGTGTTCCTGCAGTAAAGAGTCGGATATATTGTAGCAGTATCGAGATCTTAATCGACATTATCGCAAGACCGAATGATATGGATGTAATGTAAGTACCCTAGTCACTATGAGCTACCATCAAATGACAAGATATATTATACATACATAGAGAAAAGTTTGGTAATCCTTCAATCTAATATCCCATTGATGTCGTCCGAAGACATTGGGATCAAACCCGGTTGTTACGTTAAAAACAACATAACCGCACTGTAGTTCACTACTCAGCATCTGACAGAGTATCTAGAGAGGTTTTAAGTACCCATGCTGCAACCGCAATATCTAAGCAAGTCAGCGCCGAATTCAAACAATCATATATCATGATACATACAATCTTCCAAATGTACCTCTCGAATAATCCTCCACTTAGTGTATACACGTATGAAAATAGCCAGAGTGGCTAGAATAGTAGTCACTATCTTGACCGCATCGGCTGCTGGTCGAAGGGAATAAGGATTATCAAAATTCGAGGTAACACCCGGTGGAGGAGTCAAAGCCGGTCCTTCCAATAGCTCAATCTGGGATTGTGACATTCCCATCATAATAAACTTGGCACGCGTGAAAGAAAGAAAATGTCAATTTCAGGAATCGCAAGTGAATAATTGACTGAAGACTGGCACATAAGCTACTGATAATGTGTTGAGAATTCGTCTGACATCAGCCCGGTCATGACCGGACTTGAGGAGAAAGGCTGTGCACCTTTTGAAAGCATTGTGTAAGGGGGAAAAAAAGATATTCCACCAAAATGATTTCTCGCTCTTGGCTTGCATGCACTTACATCTCAGCCCTACCTGGACTCTAGCTCGAGTACCCGATCCGACAGTTCAGCTGCCTGAAAGAGTTCACATTGTAACGTTTCAAGAGCACGTTTGTCGGGATTGAGAAAATACTGATGTAACTTCGTATACTGTTCAAGGCGTAGAATCAGACACAATATGGATTGTGTCTTTCTCGACCTATCATATTGATCTACTTGTGTTGTTGAAGATGAAAGTGGTGGGACAATAATATAAGGTTACATCACGTGCCATTCCCGTGATACTAAGTACTCATTGTGCTAATGATCTTCCAAAATTTCCACTACTGCTTGATACAAATATACAGTTCCTCCCGAGTGAGGAAACCATGTTAAATGAATATGTTAATCGAGATTAACATTGCTTAGAACTCGATGAGGACCAGATAGTATTGGTATTGTCAAAGTAAGACTCAAAGTCGTTGCATGCCAACTCTTTTCTCTTTCCACTATGCACAGAAAGTCAGTATCCAGCCCAGAGAAAAAGCAAACTTTCAAGAAACTTACATCAAAAGCAACTTGTACATCTCTGAACAACGGTTCTCCAAAAATCCACATATCTTCCATTCCATTCCCATCCACACCATCGTTTTCAACTACTCTACTTCGGCCATCCATATTACCAAACCTGCCCTCTACTACAATTCCCACACAATACCCACTACCTCTCTCCATCCTCCCCAAGCTGAATTTTCCTCCGGGTGAAAACCCTCCTTCATCCCTTTTGCCATCCAATACCTTGACTCTCAAATTGCCAAACTCGAGTAGTAAGTGGGGTGGATTGAAACACGGGTAGGCATGGAACTGATCATGAGGTGGTGGAAGTTGACGAGAGCCGGATATGGAAGAATATAAATTGCGGACTTGATGTGGTGGACCGATTATGTAGGGACTATTGACCTTAGGATGTTAGCGGGTTGTGAGAAATGCGAAATGAGGAAGTAAATGGGAGGTAAAGTATTCGAGCTTACATCCAATACTATCGGCTGGTTCTGAATAACTTTATTTCCGTCAACCCAAATTCCTTTCATGAGAATTTCCCACCATCCATCTGCACCTCGAACTTTACTCCATTCCCAAACACTTTCATCCTTCGTTTTCCAAATCACATCATTGTTATCCGATGAAAATTCATCTCTCTTCATCAATCCTATCTCTGAATTCCCCTTAAACTCATCGTTTCCAGATTGTGAGGCATCTACATCCCTCTTCAACTCATCATTTTGAGGTTGGAATTCACTTACCCTACCTGCTTCGAGTTTCTTCAATTCCTTCTCGATCAATTCTTCCACCTCTCTAACCGCCTCGAAAGAAGATCCTCCCACACTAAACACCCCTTCATGTCCATTAATCAGCATCAAGCTCCAGACCTCAGTATCAACAACTCCACTCTTAACAATCTGCCCCAACAATCCTCCCTTCCAACCCCCAACTTGTCCCAGCCCCTCTCCTATAGCCAACCCCAGACTTGCACCACTATTTCCCAGACTACCAATCCACTGTTTCTGCGGTCTACAATGTGCAAAATTGACCGGTATATATCTATCCCCTTTGAAGCCAGCAAGCATGTCAAACCCCAACGGTAATCCCACAATATCCTTCCCACGCCTACAACCCGGAAAATTCATCCCTTTTCCCTCTTCATTATCATTACTAACACTATAGGTCCCACTCCTCTCTTCGAGATAAAAACTTCCCTTCCCACTCGGCGTACTAATAATCGCAAAATCCGCCGTCAACATATTAAGATCAAGATCCACATTCTGGGAAGGCTCGCCAATTTTCAATGACGTAAACCAAGATTCAGAATTGCCGACTTCACCGAGAAGAGTAGTTCCTGGTTGGAGATGTGTTCCAGATCGGGGTTTCAAATTTGTGGAATTGGTAATTTGGCCATCGTGCCATCTCTTGGGCACTCTGACGACTTTATTCCCTTTCAATATTCTTTCGGAATTTGTGAATCTGGCATTTATGTCTGCGAGTGTGGATTGGAGGAAAGTAAGATTAGCAGTATCGGGAGCGGGGAATGAACCACCGCGACGAGTGATGGTGTAGTGTAATGGTGGAAGTGTGGCAATGGTGAATTTTGTAAAAAGGATGAGGAGGAGGAGGACAGTTGAGAGATGGACACCTGAGATACACATCGTTGAGATCTTTGTTGAATGTATGGTATCGAGATGAAATTTGAGAGAAGGGATGACTTAAGTGAAATTGAGAAAGCCATCTTAGACATAGAATCGGGAAAGTGCAATTCACGAGGAAAGTCAGATGAGCGTCACTTACATCACCTCAAACGGAAAGAACATTCTCTTGATTGTGATTACCGATTTCATTGCCATTAATAAATCAATCAAGGAAGTTGATAAATAACAAGTGAAACGAACCATGTAATACAGCCGTGGAAATCATTGAATGAAAGAGAACGTTGTAGTAAATTGTGCCAAATACAATAAAACTACATGGTGCCAAAGCCACGAACGATCATAATTCATACACGCTCCCTGCTATCTTCACCAATCTCGCATCATCTTGCAATCAATTGGTATCGAGCTTTGAGTCATACCTCTCCAACTTCAATGCCGCCAAATCTAAATCCTCGACACCCCTTATCAAATCTGCTGCCTTCTCGCCAATAGCATATGCAGGCATTTGAGTATGTCCTTGATTAAGAAGTGGCATGACACTTGTATCGGCAACTCTAAGATTCCTGACTCCTCTAACTCTCAGTTCTTCATCGAGAACTGCCATTGGGTCCGATGCCTTGCCCATTTTGACTGTTCCTCCAGGGTGGTAACAGGTTGTAGCGTTATCTTTGATATAAGGGACCCATTGCTCTCTTGATGTGTATGCATGATGCGTCAAGTCTTTAGGCCAACTTCCCTCAACTATGTCCTTGGTACCTTTCCCTTTCATAATAATCTCATTCGCATATCTGCACGCCTCGCTGAGAACCACGATATCCAGCTCTTCACTTAGGTAATTGTGATCGACAACCGGGTTATCCTTTGGATCTTTGGACTTTAAAGTGACGGTACCTCTACTCTTAGGTGCGAATAATTCAGCAATGATGGAAAAGGCATGGGATTTTTCTCCGTCTGGAAATTGAGTGTAGTGTTTTGGGCCACCGTAGCATTCTGTAGTAAAGAACTCCACATTTGGTTGTGATTTGGTTAGTCCCATTGGATCTCGGCCTGGTTGTCGTGGTGCTGAAGTCCAAGCTGGTTCCGAAGCAAGACGCTCATCAAGGCGAGAATATGCGAATGCACCAAAAGGAAAGGTAGAGAGAGGTCCACGCTTCTCTTCTTTCCATTGTCTGTAAGCTTCACCCAAAGCATTTGGACGATACAAGAGGTAATCATTGGTAACATTTGGCTTGGTTGTTTCGTAAAACATGAACACAATCTGGGATTCTGTTAGCGATGTTAAACCGAGAAATAGTGGGTCGCTACCATGTGATCCATAAGATTTTTCCCAACTCCAGGGAGGTCAATTTGACAGTCAATACCATGAGATTCAAGCTCGGACTTTGCTCCAATCCCTGATCGCATAAGAATGGTTGGAGAGCAATAGGCTCCTCCACTAATGATGACCTCTTTCTTGGCTCGGATCTCTTTCACTGTTCCATCTTTCTCGATTACTTTTACAGCTGCAGCTTTCAGCTCATGAGGGAACGCATGGCTTTCGAGAATCACTTTATCGACAATTGTGCTAGTTTTTATCGCAAGGTTTGATCCTTTGTTGATGAAATAGTTGGCCGAGGTAGTTCTATCTCCTTTATACACACTCCTTGGTGCATGGCCACAACCATTTGGAGTCTCGCCAGTTGAGAACATATCTGGATGAAGTGGAAGACCTTGATCGGCCATTGAATCCAAAATCATGTTAGATATAGGGGCCTAAGAAGATCAGTTCATTGTATCAACGATCGCCTGTGATGCCGCTTACCAGATCATGAGGCTCAACATCCAGCAAACCATCGTGACCATGTGCCGAATCATTTGCTTCAAACCAGTCTTTGTTATGGAAGTTCTCTGCCTATATGACTGTCAATACGAGGCAAAAGTAAGTAAATTATGATTCTACCTTCTTCATGTATCCAAAAACTTCCTCTCCACTCCATCCTGGCATTTCCCAGTCATCGTAGTCTTGTGGTGTGCCCCTGATACACAATGTACCGTTAACTCCGCTCGATCCACCAAGGAACTTGCCACGACTGGCTTTGATTTGGCGATTGTTAATCCCCCTATTTGGTTCCGTGGAAATGTTCCAGTCTGCTTCCGTGTCGAAATTCTGTGACCTACTCATGATATTTGAGCTCAACTTCATTGAACGAAAAGAAAAGGCTCTTACCATCCACCGACCATAATAGTGTTCTCGAGAAGAGAATTATGCTCTCCTGCTTCGATGACTAGAACAGAATTGTTGGGGTCTTCTGCCAATCTTGCTGCAACAACGGCGCCGGACGTCCCACCTCTAAAGAACGTTCATCAGAGATGACCACTAAATCGAGTAGTGAGAGACGGAGCATACCCGCATATAATATAGTCATATTCAGCACCTTCTGGCTTTACTGTGATAACCATGATGAAATTCAACGTTAGAACGTGTTATGGGAAATGATGCAAAATGAGATGATGTTACCAAAAATCGAGGTTGGAACAAAAGAACTCTTAGAAGAGGTGCCATCTTCGATATTATATGAACCATTTTGAGTCTGGAACAGTACTAAGGCTTACTTAGCTTAGATAGATAGTACTCGCCTCAATACGAAGAAGATATAATGAGGCGAGTGGGGGCACCTAGTACCTCATAATTAAGCACGCTAACCCTTAATAGAATTGATGATCTTCATTTTGATCCATTCTTCAGCCGTGTGCTAAGTCATCACTGTGCATGTAATATCACCCGTTCAGCCCTTTCGGCCAATGAGAAGTCACGAGGAGTAATTACTGCACTATCCATGTGGATTACAGGCTGTGTATATTGGCTTGGTTACCTCTAGATCTTATGGCAAAACAGATCACTCGAGAGCTGACACACGAGAATCATCAAAAGTCATTGACATCTGACAAGCATGCTCAAGGGAGGCAAGGGAGGTGAGCATGTGTCTGCGCAATCATTCCGCTCTCGTACCCGGCTTAATTGCCAATGATTTATATCTATTCCTCCAAGTAAAGAAGGAGTTGATTGTATGAGATGGTGTTTAGAAAAGAGTATGAAATACCTAGGTAAACTATCCTATCTTCGCGGGGGAAATGCGGGGTTGTTCGAGAGATCCGTGCCACGGAAATCCCGGCACGTGCTTTTACGGAATTACGACCGCTCTGGAATTATCATCGATTGCAAAACAGGCGAACAAACAAACGATTTCGAGGTCGAAGAGCCCTCATACAGGGTAATGCCCATGCCAAAATGATGGCTCCGTCTTGGAAGAGAGATTAAGGATTTGATACCTAGATGTTGTTGAAATGACAATAACACAACAGCTTTTTTGGCTTTGAGGTTGTTTGAACTCATCAGCTTATGGTTAACCTTACGGCGACGACGACAAGTAAGAATAAACACTTAATACAAAGGCATTGTTGATAAACAAGGCACAAGAGGTATTCTTTGTTGTAAATCTATCAACACTGTGCCCTTGATTGGTCCTTGAAGATTGTTTCGCTTGTTCTCTGAAATTTTGTCGAATGAAGAACAGAACAAACATAGTAGAGAGCCTATATAAGAACAGAACAGAACGTCTATCCAAAGATAACTTCTCTCAAGTCTCCCGTAATTCATTTCAATAGATGACTATTTTAGGAAGTTCCATATTGACTGAAATATTCACACGCGTACTCATGACCAAGCGAACTGCAGTAGTAAGCCTACCACTCAATAGTGTCATATCATATAAAAAGGTTGATCAAAAATAGTGCTATATCAAAAGGTTAGTCAATATGTCTACACCATTTCTCTCTACTGACTTCACGTTTGGGGTAGAATTTGAGCTTGGCATTCGCTTCAAAAAAGGATCCTTTCCTGACTACAGGAAACTTGGCCCGGGTCAGGTTTATAGTTTTATCAAAGAGACTTTGATTGTTGAAACCGGGCTTGAGATTTTGACAGAAGCAGAGATTGACGGTGACTCTCCCCGTTTTTCCAACCCAATTAAAGATCCCAATAAAATACATCAGCAAGACTTATTCAACACATGGGCCATTGGTACAGATGCCACCATATCATTCCATGCAGAGGAACATGCAGACAGATCCTCGATGTTCGTCGAGCTTGAAGTGGTAACACCAGTCATGAAATTTGGTTCGAAAGCTTTAAAGGAAATTGACAAAATGCTAACTGCTTTCAAGAAACATTTCGATGTTGTTGTCAACCAGTCATGTGGTCTTCACGTTCATGTTGGCAATGGAACTAAAGGCTTATCTTTTGAACCATTTCAATACCTCATGGCAACTATTTGGATTTTCGAACCTCAGATTCTCTCCCTTCTTCGGAAGTCAAGGAACAATGGTCGCTATTGTGGATCCCTTCATAAACGCTCCAATCTTGGTGTGTACAAATTCGAGGGGAATTTACTCGATGTTCTTTTCAGTACATCTGACATCAACGAAGTCGTGGCCATGTTCAATGGATATAACTTTTTCAGCTACATGGCTTTTAAACTTCAATTTCTTCTCCAACCTTTCCCAAATCCTGTCAAGAGAACTATAGAGTTCCGAGCACATGAAGGAAGTATGGATTCAGAGACCGTCTTGAACTGGGTATCTTTTGTTGTTGAATTAGTGAGCTGGGCTCACAAGATCAACCGTCAAGATTTAAAGATCTTTCTTTCAAAGCACATTGATTCCAAAGATTCGTCAATAGAGGACCTTTTCAATGAGATTGGTTTCCCACAATCAACTGTTGAATTCTACCGAGAAAAAGTCACAAAATTACGAGAAGTTGAGAAGAGGGAAGCTGAGGAAAAGAGAGCAATCAAAAAGAAGAAGGCGGAGAAGAAAAAGGCTAGAGATGCAGCCAGGGCTGCAGGAGAAATAGTTGAGAGCAGCGACAGCAGCCAAGACAGTAGCTTCGATACATTAGAATCGGGATCATTGGTCTTTTGAGGCGAAAGCGCATCAAGATAGCTTTCTGCCTATCATTCTCTGGGTTTTCCCCGTTCTGGTAATTTCACATTGATCCGCAAACAGTTCCTCGTTCTTTCCCTACAAATTTAAACAATCAATCATAATTCAATCAATAATTTTGACCAATCAACTTTCGTTTCCTTTTGCGTTGAAATATCCTTTCTCTTCTGTAATGAAAAATCTTTGAACTGATAACAAAAATCGTTCACTTCATTATCCAAGTAGTGTCGCTGTCGTACATGTCAATTAATAATTTACTTAAATTCAATCTTTCCTTCCATTTCCATACTGAGACGTCAAATTCTCATTAATTTATTCAATACTTAACCCAGTGCTAGTGATAAATACGGAAAGTGCAACTATGTGAATGTCTAACCTAATTTGTGTGTTCTAGAACAGTTTCAGAACGATGAAAGATACAGTCCCAAAGTCTATCTCTCGTGGAGATTAAGCATACAATATTACCACATTTCTTCTCATGTTCGAGTTCTTGCAAAGTGATTAAAAAGGAAGCAGAGGCTTGGAAAGTCCGGAAAGCAAGAACAAAATATCGTTTAGCCAGGACCGACCGACGTGCTATATGGCTGACAATTCATATCTACTTGCTGTTTTCTATCATTAATTCTTGGATGATCCCCAATCTTCGCACTTTCCTTCGCTTAATCGCTTGTTTATCCCTATTTATCTTTTCAATTCTCCCCGAATCCTACTTCTGACCACTAATTTCTTTACATTCGTTGTATCAATTGTTCAACTCCACATATAAATATTGCATTTTTACGTATTTGGATACAAATAAATAGGATTATCTTTGCATTATCGATTCGACGCGGCAAATCGCGGTTTCTCAAGATGTCAAGACTTTCAAAATATATGACGAGTTACTTTCGAAAAACACCTCAAGCTCCACAATCACCAAGACAATCAATAGAACTTGGCATAGTAGATGCTAATGGAAGACCACTGATTTCTCCAAAGGCCAATGAGATTTTAGATGAGATTGAAAATGGAATGTATGTATCTCTCTCTTTGTATGAGGTCATTCTGAACTTCAAAGTCAACTCCTTTTTGCAATCATTCATTAGCTAAACTAAATTATCAGATGTATCTGTCCTATCTGCAAAGATACTTTTGCAGCTGATATATCAGAGATCTGGAGCTACCATTGCTGCCATCATGTCTTTCATCCTAGGTGTATCAGGGGATGGGTTGACACTTCGACCGGATCACCAAATAGTGTTGAGTGGAGATGCCCTGGATGTAATACTACTAAACGTAGGGGCCGCCCGCTACCCTCTTGCTGGTGCAAAAAATATAATTCCCAAACTATGAAGATTAATACAGGTAGCTGTGGTCAGTCTTGTTCAAGAAAAAAGCGTTGTGGTAAACGGCGCAATTGCCCCATGTATACATGCTCAGCAATATGTCATCCTGGACCATGTTTTAAACCCACATGCACAGATAACTGCGGAGAGGAGATACCCCAAGAGCCAGACGATCAGCAACAACTTGCTGATTCAATTGCCGATTTCCGAAAAAATCTCTGGTATCTCATACTTATCTTTATATTCAATTCCCTTGCAATTTTCTGGGCTGTAAATCGTATTCGGCGATTTACAACACCACTCGAAAACCAAAAATTCACAGAAGGGGAGTATCGCAAGCACGAGCAAAATCTTTGTTTTCTAGCTGCTGCTGTTCTCTTTGTGTTGAATTCGATTTCATGGGGCTCTAATCTAGATAACATCAATGAGTGTTTCAGGATCTATCTAGGTTTAAGTACATCGATACGAGTGCCTACATCATATTCTATCTCATGGAGAAGGACAAAAATCATCGCTGCAAGGGTGATTCTTGCTATCTTGTGGATTATATTCATCATTCTTGTCTTTTGTATTCCAGCCGTGTAAGTATTATTTTTTTTTTCTTCCATTTTTTTCTTCTATAACTGACGCACCCGCCGACTACTCTTCGGACCAGGCCTTCACTGGAGTCGTCGAACAAGCGGCACATGCGATAGCTTCGACACACGTATCAAACTCTCTGACCCATATGTTGATTACTTCGGTCTTCACAACAGAACAACAAAAGAAGGGAGAATCTACATCAACCATCAATACACTCAAACGCCTGGTCTATACCCATATCCCTCCTGGAAAGATTACGAATCCTACAAATCTGGCGTTGATCTCTTCAACGTCACCAGAATAAATAATACAGCTCTAAACAACCCTACATTATCGAACAGTAAGCCATTCGACAAATTCTGGCGCATCATGGGGATTTATGGCGATAAACCCCTGCATTTGGATTTCGATCTCTTGCATCGCTCTTGGCGTATGAAGGAGGGAATTATAGTCATTGACTCTGAAGATCCCAGTTCCTCTTTCTACAAAGGAGGAGTCTTATTCGACCGCCTCAAACCAGGAGACATCTACGACTCAAACAAGACCTCTCATCTAGTTCCTAATTTCGGGATTGCAATTCAAAATCTTCATGAAGTACGCAATGGAACATGGACAGCCACCGATTCCGAGAATATGGAGCTTGAATTCCCTGAATTAGATCTGCATATTCCTATGTGGGGACTCTTTGAAAAACATTGTGTGTATCAAAGTTTTATGAGAGTTTTCCGAAGGCCAACTGACGAGAATCGGAAAACGTGGAATACTTGGAGCAAAGAAAGCAATGGAGAGGAAGTGATGAGAACTGCGAGCTTTGGGTATGGTGGAAATAAGGGACTGGAAGTTTGTGTGAAGAGGAGGAATTATACGTGGACGACTTCTGATGGAGTTCAAGTGACGGAACCGGGGTTAGGAGAGGACCTTTTGGTGCCGTTGGGGTTGATGGCTGTGGTGAGGAGGAGTATGAGGATGGAACAGGGGAGGATGAGGGATAATTGTCGTTGGCCCGAGGATTGAGAGTCTTTGGTGTTTTTGGTGATTCTTCTTGATTAGCGTTTGAAAGGGCGAAGAGTTGATTGAGGTGAGTCAGTCGAGAGGCTACAGCGTTCTGATTGTTTTAGTCACTTTTGTGACACAGCGTAGATGTCTCACAATGAGATAGCAAAAAATTCTAGTTTATAATATATTATTCAGCACAAGAATGCTATCTCCAATGTCTTCTTCATTGAAAAAGTTGTTCTAGATTTGCACTATATTCCACTTGAATAATGTTGCGGGTAGTTCTGGCAAATTAACCTTGTGTAATCGGTATCTAGTGACGAAATTCCTTAACTTCAAGGTATGTCTTTCCCTATCTCGCTGATTATGAACGCTGCTATGCTGTTTAGGTGAGTCTGGGATGATTGGTTAGATTGATTTCACAGTTGGATTCGTGCTTGTCTAGTTCCTTACACGAGTATGTTTGACATGACTTCGCTTCGAAGCATGGCGGTTCGAGATACTTCATCATGACTCTGATGATCATGTTCACACAGATGTTTGTCAAATTCGCGTAATCGAAGGAGCGGACTCGGTTCAAGAGTATATTTGATGTGCCATTATGTTACAAGTATGAATGTCTATAGGATAAGGCGGTAAGCGTTGAACATGAGATCATTTGGAGATGGATTGAATTAAGTGTATTAGTCAGCTACGAGGACGGGAGCTCTTACTAATACTGATTGTGGCTAGCTCCCGCTGCCCCAGTACCACAAGAACGACATCTATTTACACATCATTCCATGATTCATGTTGTGAATATTGCTGATTGAGTGAATTTTCATACCCAATGAGACACTTCAGTTTTGCGCTAGCACCAAATTGCTTTCGTGGAGGTCTACTTGGTAGATTAGATTCACTTTCACGTATCAAACAAGGAACATATTTAAGAGACCCCCCACATAAATTTCCCCATCTTACCTCTCATCCTCTACGACCAACAAACAACTCTCCAAGACCTCCTTCAAGTCTCAGCAACAATGAAAAACTTGAGTAAAGCCAACGGCTTTCCGCTCTTGAAGGGCTCTATTGATCTTTTATTACTTCTTCCACACTATCTCGACAACATTGAAGATTTCATTCACCTTTCGTCCAGTTGTAAAACTTTGTGAGTTTCAATTGGGATATATTTATTGCAGAGGGACGACCATGAAGACTAATTATTTGCACGTGTAGGCACAATATCTACACTGAACATCCTCCATTACCTGGATTACTATTTGAGCTGGCTGCTGCTTCTTCTCTGGAGATTTTTGAACCCAAGCCTCATTTCCTCATCGCTGGTGTCGCACGTCAAATTGGTGAATGGGCTATTCAGAGTATGTGACTCGAAGCTGTATAAACGATAGTCTGTACTGACTCTATGTGTGTTTTACAGCACCCGAAAATCGTACTGAGTTTCATGAATCCTTCAAAACAGAAGGAATTTCTGGATTGTTCGAGCTCTGCAAGAAGAGGGGAAAGTTGACCCTCGACGAGATGCGCGACCTGTTTGATCGGAAGTCTACTCTCAGTTCGCTTGTTTTCATTCATTTGAGACGTCGGAATCGCGCAGTATATCACGAACGTACAGAAATGTTACCCTATTTACAAATCGCAATGTTTGGAGGTTTATTCGCTGCTAGCGTACGCAATTTTTGCGAGCCAGGAGTTGCGAATCCATTGCACACAAGCATTAGATTAGACTGGTGGGTGAAGTGCTGCCCAGATGCTTCGTGTTTTGATAGCTGGGATATAATCCATGCACAGCCCTCTTCGATCGGAATTCGTCATATGTACAAAATAATGAAAGGTAAGAAGAGTCTGAGGTGATATTTGTTAGTACAATGACTAATGACCGGATAGTGCTCCAAATTACCACGATGCTTCAAGAATCCACTCTAATCTCAATGATGAAGCGAATTCCCAAATGCTTCGTCACTTCAGCAGAGGAATGTAGAGATATCTCCTATGATAATAGTTATCACGAAAGAAACTCCGTTTTCTCTGGTCTTATTTTCCTGCAGGGCTGGGATTCACTGGACTTGATGTATCAAGTTCAGATGAGGACACATTCACTCAACACACAAGCGGCAGTTAAAGCTGCAATTATTGCCTTTCGAATGGAACATAGTCAAGTCACTAATTTCAAAGAAATACGTGATGCCACGATGAACAATACTTGTCAGGACTTGGGTACCGTAGTGAGCATTGAGCTCGATACGCGCTTCGTTTGCGAACGTGACCTCTTGGGCTAATTGTTATACTCGCGGGTCAGATCTTATTAATCAAACCTTGAGATTACCAGAACCTGGTCTGACTGGGCGTACACCAGACTAGACACATCCAATATATATGAAAGTCTTAAATTCTGATGTTTCTATCTTTACCAGTGGTCTCTGAATATATCCGAGGTAAAATTGAACATTCTTACGATAGTTTCATTCCAACCGTGTTTTCAAATAGCATATAGGTGTTCTTTGTCGGAAGGGGAATGAAAATGTGATGTGTCGACTCCTAGCCTCATCCAATATCACACTTATTTCCACAACATACATTCTCATCAAGTATTCAAGTCCTGTATCCCACGGATCAACATCCACTAAAGTCTACATGACTAAAATATTATAAATCGACCTACATAACTGTTCACTCAGTCTTCCCTACGCGAGCTCTCAGCACATGATATCAAGATTTGGCTCGCGCTACATGATCCAAGGAATGGGTTGTCCACCAAGTATGATAAGACACAGCATCTCACCTAGCACTGGACTCCCATATGTGTTCGAACAAGATTTTCCAATCTATCTCAAGCTTATAATTTTGATTTGATCTTTAATTTAGGTAGATTTTACCCATTCCACTTTGCTTCTGCTTAACTCACAGCCCCAAAATCCCTCCCAATCTATCTTGAATGCTCTTAACCTGTTCTGGTGTCATTACTTGACTTCCCATAAGATACACCACATTCCCTAGTATTCTCGCATGGATGTTCCAATCCCCATCTATGCCCGCCACCTTACCATCCAGCATACTTTCTCTCACTGTTTCTGTGACTCTCGAGGTGTAGCCTCCTCCTTGCTCATCCTTGAAGGTAATAGCTAATACACTACCGAGAGCAATCACCCCGTCTACCGACTCCAGGTGAGAGATCGAGTTGATAAAATATTTGCTCCATATACTCCAGACCTGGTTAGTTCCACTTGCACTCTTCACCTGGGTTGCAGATTTAGAAACAGATTCTTGGGTTTCAGGATTCCAGTCATTTCTAAATCCCTCCCATGCGCCATTTTTATCGCTGTCTAATTTGTCCATGGTTTCGAGACCTATACGTGCGACTTCGCAACCGACGGCATGACCGGTATAACTATGTCCGTGTAGAAGTGCTTCGCTTTTTTCGTCGCCGAGGAATGCTTCGTAGATGCTCTCGCTAGCGACGGTTGTGCAAAGAGGTAGTAGACCACCGGTTAATAGCTTGGCATGAACTGAGATATCCGGGTGTGTGTGTAAGAGTGTAGAGGGACTGAAGTGTCCGAGACGGTAGAGACCTGTGAATACCTCGTCGTGGATGACTGGAAGTCCGGTCCATTGATTTGGCGAGGACTTGTAACCTTCGAGAGGAGGATTGGCTTCACCGAGTAGTTGTTCAGGAATGTTACGGATGACGTTTGTTAGGGTGCGTTGGAAAAGGGGGTCGCTTTAATTTGTGTCAGAAGGGGGTTTGAGAAAGAGCTGGATATGTGTGACTTACCAGAACAACATACCACCCGCCCCAAGGATGATTGGCTCCAAAACCAAGGCACCGAATTTCATCCCCTGTTCATTGGCCTTTCGAAGTTCAGCCAAAATATGTTCTTCATACTTTTTCTTCAACTTGCTACTATCTCTCTGAGAACTGAACACACTTCCCAATTCATCAAATGTCTCCTCGATATTCTGACCGGTTCCATCATAAACTACCCATTTCCCATCTTTCATCCAGACTTTTGGTACGTCAAACCATAATCCTCTTCCTTTGTACCAATGTACTTTTTCGTTATAAACGCTTCCTTCACTTAAATCCATGGCCCCTATGGTATCTCCATGGTAACTGCCTTTGAGTCCGATAATTCCCACCTCTCTACTCTTTTCGGGATTGTTTCCCCAACTGTAATGCTTACTAGCAGCAGTCAAGGCCATTTTAACAGCGACTTCCATGCCAGTGCTACCATTATCAGAGTAAAAGACTCGAGAGAGACGAGGATTTTTGAGGTTGGTAAGGAGATGCTCAGCGAGTTTCAGAGAGGGTGCATGGACGGTGGAAGCGAAGATGCAGTGTCCATAACGACCTGATGCATAGGCTGCGGCTAATGACAGGGCAGGATTTCCGTGACCCAAACCTTGGGTCCACCAGGACCCTGAGCCATCTAATGTGGGCGTAAGAAGATTCTCTCGGGCTGGCTCTCCAGATTTAGATTCATTTTGTGTCGACAGAGTTTGGAAGTAATCTCCAAATGCGGAATCTATAGGAAGTATTTTATCCGCTGAGAGATGCTTCATTTGAGTGAATGGATACCAGATTTTTTCGTGAGCTTTTGTGGCCATTTGTTCCAGATCCTCAATTCGTGTTATATTTCGTTGATGGGAAGCTTCTAGTAGAGCTTCAATCTCGCCGGATTGAGCGACATTCGAGTAGTAAGAAGACATAGATTCTTCATCCTCCTGGAGATTTGGTAATTGATTTGGTGGGGGCGGGATAACTGTTGTGTTCACACCTCTTTCTTGGAAGTATTTAGACAGATATGCATAATTCCCGTACTTTTCTTCCTGGAATATTAAGACGGAGTCTATGTCATACCCTCGGAGATGTAAACCTGTCTCATCATTAGTCCAGCACAATTAACCGGAGTGATTTTACGGTTTCCTTCAGATTTTATCCGAGCAGGAATGTTCACATACTCTCCCAAGCACTAATTGTTGCAGAAATCCCGCCTAATTTTGGATCACCAACGAGAAACACTGGCATCCTCAAAGGTCTCAGTGCATCTACTTGACTTGTACCAGAAGGTGTTGGCGAATGTACACCACCAGCACCTTCCACTATGATCATTCCTTCTCCTCTCTTTTCATTACTTTTTGTCCATTTTTTAACTTGATCTGAGATGGCAGTAACAATCTCGTAATCATTTGGTGGCTGCACGTGTTTCCAAGTTAGCGAGGAAGGTTCTTCGATCATGTGTCTTTCCAACCATCAAAACTAAACAATGTCGACATTTGGGAAATGGAGCCAAAATTTAGTCTCTCCTAGTTATAAATGAAAGTTACCAAACACACCTTCACACCCCTTGCCGCTATGTGCGGGCTGACAGCTTCACCATATCTGAACAAGCATGCTATTTTCGATCCTTTTGCAAATTTTTCAATATGTACATCATCAGCTTCACTCAATGGTCCTGTTGAAACCGGCTTCAAATAATATGGGATTTGCTTTTTGGCTAGCAGTTGTCGACAGAGAAGTGTTGAAAAGATAGTCTTCCCCAAAGATGTGTTGGATGCCGTTAGATGATAGACAGGAAGCGAGCGTGAAAGGAGAGAGGGTGGTGGTTTATACATTTTGACCAAAGGGAGGGAAAGCAAACAGACGAACAAGTGAAAAGAAGCTCGGAGTTGAGTCAATCGCTGGTTGAAATTCGAACAAACAATGAGGGGTGATTCATGGTGGGGTCGCTTGCATGAATGACTAATAAATGTTTATCCGATTGGCCAATCTTCCTATATACCCCTGAGTTATCTCCACAATAGCTTAAACCCATGCTAATGTGATCTGCGGGAAATATCCATGCTGGCACGTATTCTCCAAGTCTGCTAATGTATCGGCTTTGGATACAGTATGTCACCAGCTAATGCAAAACGAACTCTCGGCAAGACTTCAACAAATTTTGAACATCGGACCCGAGTCGAGAAGTCATGACTTACGAATCAAATCATATTGTCTCTTTACCTGTATCCATCTGTACAATGTTACCACGGTTCTAATCACACATCACACATTTATCTTATAGCAAACCAAAAATGCCTACACTGGAAGAATCAATGGCCTCGGCACTGAAACGCCGAGCACTGAAATCCTCGCTCCGAAATCTATCGTTACCATCTACCATACAAACTACATCTGGTGTTACACCAATCGACTTCTCATCTAACGATTTTCTCTCGCTCTCAACATCCACACTTCTACATAATGAATATCTTTCACTTCTCCGATCTCATTTATCACCTTCAACATGCGTGGTGTCATCACCAGTTTCAAAATCAAACCCGCCAACTTTAGGTAGTACAGGTTCCCGTCTTCTAACCGGCAATTCTCCCCTCGCACTTGATCTTGAATCTCAAATTTCTGCATTTCATCGCTCTCCGCATATTGGCTCTGGTGCTCTTCTTTTCAACTCAGGTTTTGATGCTAATTCTGCATTTTTTGCCTGTGTTCCTCAAAAAGAAGATGTCATCATCTACGATGAACAAATCCACGCTAGTGTGCATGAAGGGATGAGAGGGTCACGTTCTAGGAGATTTATTGCCTTTGAACATAATGATGTATGTGATTTGCGGAGGGCCTTGGATAGTGTAAAACGAGAAGGAGGAGAGAGAAATGTATTCGTGGCGGTGGAAAGTTTGTATAGTATGGATGGAGATTTATGTCCTCTGCGCGCCGTGGTAGACACTGTCGAGAATATTTTTGGGTTAGGGGGGATTACTGAAGGAGGAAGAGGATATATTGTGGTAGATGAAGCACATTCGACTGGTGTTTATGGACCGAACGGACGGGGACTGGTTTGTGAACTAGGACTGGAGGGAAAGATATTTGTGAGGTTGCATACTTTTGGGAAGGCACTTGCGGGAAATGGTGGTATGTTCTCCATCTTTCCTTTGTATTGGATTTCTCACTGCGCACTCAATCTCACAAGGTGATAATGAATATACTAAAACACCAAATAGCTATCATCCTAACCACACCATTAACGCGTCACTACCTCCTCAACTACGCACGCCCTCTCATTTATAGCACCTCTCTCTCCACGCCCTCTCTCCTTCTAATCGCCGCCTCTTACTCTCTTCTTTTGTCCTCCTCCACGGCTCCCCTTCAATCTCATGTCCGTTCTCTCTCACATCATTTCACTTCTTTACTTTCCCAACTGCCTCATTTTCTCTACCTCAGACCGCAGCACCAAAACCCCAACCCATTCACCGAGGATCTAAACTGGACACCCATATTCTCTCTTCAGACACCTGAGCCCAAGGATCTAGCTGCTTTTTGTCAAAAAGCGGGTTATAACGTACGGGCAATTATGAGTCCAACAGTCAAGAAGGGAAGTGAAAGAGTCAGGGTTTGTTTGCATGCCGGGAATACTTTTGAGGAGGTGGGGGGATTGGTACAGTGTGTTAAAGAGTGGATTGAGGTGATGGAAAATAAAGTGCTGGGCAAAGTGGATGAGACTTTGGAGACCTTTTCACCGCTGATATCTAATTCAGCGGCGGGTGTTCATGAGATCAATAGCGCTGATGTAGGTGCAAGTTTCAAAGGGAGGGCCTCAACAGAGAGGGCAAAGCTATAGGTCTATCGCGTGAAGAAGAAGCCACGTCGTACACTTAGATTGAGATCTTCACACAACAATATAAAATCACAATACAGCAAAGCAAAACAAGAGAAACCGAGGATATAGCCAAGTATGATCTCGAATCAGCTATCAAACTAGGTCTCATTTTTCGAAACAAACTAATGGATAACACAAATTTAGAGCAAAAAATACCTTGGGATCTAAAACTTCCCAAGAAATCTATGAGCTTCTTCAACGGGGTGATTAATAAGATAGACCAACGGATAATAGACCAAGACTTCTTATCTACCAGTTGTCACTCGGGTCTCAACGCCAATACTTTCACACTGAACTTTAGCCTCGGATCCCACACATGATTGTTAATCCTTCATTCTCGCTTAGCATTTTCTCACTGGTACTGTAATCTCATTACTAAGAATTTTATACTATTTTGCACTACTTTTGCATCGATTTGAAGAAACATTAATCAACCACGACAGCTATCTAACAAATTCCCAACAATATAACAGAGTTTACCTTCTCGGTGCTACTACAAACGCCGATGCGATATCCGGAAGATCTTCTCCATTTCTTACCTCGGCAATGCCAAGGGTCACTCAGCCCAAGCTTCTGCACGGGCCGATCCACCTTGCTGTCATGACAGCGGGGAATTTCTCGCTTTTCCCCGCCAATCAGACGAGACAATTGATAAGTGGACAATTCCCGGATACATAATTTGTTGAGCTGCCCCGCTGGATCATCTGGGGTTACATGAATGAGTTGTGTAAATAAACCCCTCACTTAGCTTGGTTTCGAGGTTTGACTTGTCTCCTTCCTTTTTGTCTCTCGTTGAGTCACGATTTGGTTTAGCTGGACATTAGGTAGTAATGGCGATGGATTTATTGGACAGTAGCTTGATTTGGAAGTTGTAGATATTTATCAGAGATTTTGGTTTCTTTTCTTTAATCCGTATTACTTGCTTCATAAGGTGAAGAGAGTGTGTGAATACCTACGTCAAATCCCTAAATCACTCCAATATCATGGCAACCCTCCGGACTACCCTCTTTCGTCCCCTCCGCTCCAACACCCACAAGCTCTCTTCCATTTCTCTCCCCCTCCGTCTTCAAGCCCTGAACTCCAAAAACTACGGTACTGTATCATCTATTCCTCCTCAAGCTACAGAGAACACTGTTACATCACAAAAAGATGTTTACCAAGAAGCTCTCAATGCAACTGAACCTCGCACCAACTGGACGCGAGAAGAAATCAAGACCATTTATGATAAACCATTGATGGAATTATGTTGGGGAGCAGGTAGTTTGCATAGGAAATTCCATATACCGGGAGCTATCCAGATGTGTACTCTGTTGAATATCAAAACTGGTGGTTGTTCGGAGGACTGTTCTTAGTGAGTCTACTTTGTTCTCTGTGATTTTGAATCGTCGTTTTGTTCTACTCGGTCCATGTAGATGTATGGATTTTCTTCTTTTGCTTTCATCCACTGTTATTTATCAGACGATAATGCTAACACCTCACACCCAGCTGCGCCCAATCATCACGCTATCAAACCGGTCTCAAAGCTTCCAAAATGATCTCCGTTGAATCCGTCCTCGCTGCTGCCCGCATCGCTAAGGACAATGGCAGCACCCGTTTCTGTATGGGCGCCGCCTGGCGTGATATGCGTGGTCGTAAAACCAATCTCAAAAATGTTAAAACAATGGTTAGCGAGATTCGTGGCATGGGCATGGAAGTATGCGTAACTCTTGGAATGATTGACGCGGAGCAAGCTCAGGAACTCAAGGAAGCAGGATTGACTGCTTATAATCATAACGTGGATACTTCTAGAGATTTTTATCCAAAAGTCATTACAACAAGAAGTTATGATGAAAGATTGAATACAATCAAGAATGTGAGGGAAGCGGGTATTAACGTTTGCACTGGGGGAATTTTGGGGTTGGGTGAAAACAAGAGTGATCATATTGGACTTTTGGAGACGGTGGCTACGTTACCTTCGCACCCAGAATCGTTTCCTGTGAACATGTTGGTGGCCATCAAGGGAACTCCACTGGAAGGAAACAAGAAGGTAGAATTTGAAAACATGTTGAGAATGGTAGCAACAGCTCGAATTGTCATGCCAAAAACCATTGTACGCTTGGCTGCCGGAAGAGGAGAATTGAGCGAAGAACAACAAGTTCTATGTTTCATGGCCGGTGCCAACGCCGTATTCACCGGCGAGAAAATGTTAACAACACCTGCCGTTGGATGGGGAGTCGACTCTGTTGTCTTCAACAGATGGGGCTTGCGACCCATGGAAAGTTTCGAAGTCGATGCTTTGAAGAACGACAAGCCAGCTGCGGTTTCGACAACAGAGATTCCAGTGGAGGAAAGCAAGGCAGAAATGCCCGGTACGGTTGCATGATTGTTTGTTTGGTTTGGATACCCCATGGCGTTTGGTGCGCTCATCATCTCGAGTTTATCTAAGGAGATAGTATTCGAACAATGGAAGTGCTGTTACGCCACCATTGGGATTGGCGTATTGGACTGAGATCGACTGTGCCGCGAAAATGTTTTGCGCTATCGTGTGTTGTCGTCTCGTGGGATTCAGCGTTGCTTTGTGTTTTCATTTTGGGTGTGTCTGGAGTGGTGGGACTATTATATAGATACGGAGAATATATATATACATCTGTGTGATTAGCTGAATATATTGTTCCTATACATCGTGAATACAATTACAATTACGAGGTAATATGGGATGACAGCTCGGCACCTCAAGAACCTCATTACCTCCCATTAACTCAGGAAGAACTCACAAGTACACTGCAACCAAATGAAAAATGCATAAGCGAGCGAGGTACAACCTTCCCAGTGGCCCTTTCTTGATCGTACTTTTCAATATCACAGAAAAGCATCAGAGAACTACATGCTAACTATAACCCTTCAAACCTCAAACCAGTTTTTTTTATAGAAACGATACATGTAAAAGAACCACCTCAAGTAAGAAAAAAGATAAACGAAATATTTCTCGAGCCGGCTTCAAGAAGCTTGACTTTATCGACTCAAGAACACCCCCGGTGAGGTACCGGTGATTACGTTATATTAAAGCTGAAGAGGAAAGATAATAGAGGAGGTGCTTCAGATACTCCAGTAGGACTTTTACTAAGTGTCAAACTGAAAGTTATGTTCTTCTATATGGGCGAACAATAAATGGAATCCAACATTCTTTCCTCCTTTTCGAACGTGGTGATTCGTCTCCCAATCAGTTCCTATAAGTATATCCGTCCACTTATCTCGACGCAAGGCGAAGTAACAAATAGGGATGGTATGAAATATACATTTATTACCGCGCATGAAAGATACCTAGCTGGTATTTCCCATCCTTCCAATTTTGTATTTTCACAAAACGATGAAGGTACGAGTAACTAGGCCGTTTCCAATCCTCTCTATTTGTGATTTCTATACAATATGTAAGTAATATAATCAGTGATTTTGTACTGAAAGTATACAAGTCGCACCCAACACCGTGCTCTAACGCCTGGCTCCCCCTCCCATTTTGTCAATACAATTCTTGTACAGAGGTCTATTTCAAAAAGTTCTTCTTCAAACAGGTAATACCCGTTTTCCCTTCGCATCCTGCTGCTGTTTTCCTTCTAACCACGCTCCCAGGATACCACCTGAGCACCCTATCACTATAGCGGATACACTGCCCACGTTTATCGGATTCGAATAAATGTACATTCCTAGTAAGGCTATTACCATTTTACTCGAAGCTTCGACAATCGAATGGAAACTTGACGATGATTTTCGAACAATTGCGGTGGAATAGAATATTACAGGGAAGACTCCAAAGCAGGTATAAATTATGGCCCAGATGGTCGATGTTCGTATCGAAGATGGGAAGCAATCGTTCATGTTCTCGTCAGAGAAATCCTCGATGAGAAAGGAAAGCGCTGATGCGATGATAAATATAAGCACATGGTTATGTAGGAAAACTAAGAAATGTCAGCCAGCCGTCCTCAAGTTCCTACAAGGAGAGAAGACATACTATCCCATTGACCAAATTTGAGATTCGGCACAATCTTTGCCTTCCATGCTTCATATGTGCTGTACAATAAAAGATGTATGACCATGAAAATATATCCAAGAAATAATATCATGACGGGATCTTGAGGTTCCAATGTTTGTTCGAGTCGTCGGTCGCCATAGCTTGCTTCTGCATGCGCGTTTTCCGCGATGACTGATATTACTATGCCGGAGAATATTAAAAGGTAGGATTTAAATGCGAACGGAGGAATCGGTGTCCCGAACAGAATGCTGTCGACGTAGGGGACCGTGAAAATGGTCGTAGTAGAAAGAAGTATGTACGTAGGTAATGAAAGACATTGAAGCGCTTTATAAGATATGTAATTTGAGACGAGGAGTAGTACAGCTAGAGGAAGCCCTGGAAACAATTCTGGTTAGCATCTGCAATCCCCAATTCGTTCAGATCGCGCAACGCATACAAGTCTTCAATTTTTGGAACTCTAGCCCTGCTAATTCCTTGAGATATCCGCCCCTTTTCAATAACCATATCACTGCGAGAGCAGTTCCTGACTATTGAAACCCCAATGTCAGTGTGCGCATTTTCCCGAGGCACGAAGCTTTTGTCAAACCGACATACCTGAAGCGCCAGTAAAAAGAAGTTCAAATTCCAGTATTGACCTGAGATAGCATATTTCAGAATCAAAGCCAACAGGGCACTAGAACTTCCGTATGCCACCACATCGAGCCATTTTCCCGAATCTCCTCCCCTTCTCTTCGCAGGTAAATATCGGTCCTTCTCCTTTTCTTTGCCCTTCGAATAACCATTCATCGTCATCGGCTTTCCGCGGGGTATGTTCTTCTTCTTCGATGGATAATGGGTGCCGCACTCATAGTACAGGGCTACACCATTAATTTCTGCCCTCAATCTATCCTCCTGCGATTGAAATGGTTTGGTTGGTCAGGTTTGTTTCGTTTGTAAGGAACAACGGGATAACAATTGAGGATCAAAGAAACGGTGCCAAGAGGTGGGTAAGCTCAGACTGGTGGGTCGAAATTTCGCGTAGGTTAAGCTTATGGTATGGTATGGTGCAAGCGCTGTGTTGAGGACCCTGAATATTAGTAATTCGGCAGGTGTTGAATTTGATCGCTGTCCTTTTGATCCTAACAGAATGTCAATGGAGCACACGTAGGTTAACATCGAAAGCCATGCATCAAGAGGTGCTAGGTATTTGATGGCGATAATTTGAAGAGAGAGCAGCAGTCACATGTTTACTGATTAGGTAAGCTACAGGTACGATATATACCTAGTCACTAGTATTACGATACACTTGACGATTTAGTCAATGGATTTTCTTTGAATTTTCTTTCATTTGGGGCGGGGGGCTTAGTATACTTGAAAGACCTCACAAGTCATACAAAAAAGATCTGCTGAGCGCATTCTCTATGTTTATTGGTTTCCTTCAATGATGCTGACAATCGCATGGATTCTTGATGCGTGGTCCATGGCCAACCACTCATCTAACACCTCGCATTCGTAGCACAACTCGTCTCCTTGTGGAGGAACTCTGATTATGATCTCGGGAATCATAATTCTAGGATATTTACAGTTTTGCTTTACAAAGAATGTCCTGAGTCTTTCTTTACAGAGCATTTGCTCCGTGATATCTTGCAATCGATGCTTTCGCGAACATTGCAGGTCTTGGACTACGAAAGTCTGCAGATGACAGAATGGAAAAGCGACCCAATCACCTTGATCTTGTTCCAAGTATTTCTCTATATCGATCAAGGGTGGTCTAACGTCGCAAATTCTGGCTGAGCATTGGACAGAATTGACAACTGTTGTGTCCGTGTACAACGCTGCTGTAAATAAGTCGACAGAGTCTTTCAACAATACCGAGTCCTGCTGGGTGTTGAAGAAGATCGCTGGACAGTCAAGGCGCGTCAATCTCTTGTAGACTTTCTTGGCTTCATTATGGCTCAGCCAATTAATACCAAGAAGTACCTCAGGAATCTTAATCTCGGTTTCGTGGGACAACAACCAAGTCACATCATGGACAACAGGCTCTGCGATGGCCTCTTTCCAGATCTTAATTTGAAGTTCATCTGAGAGCCTCGAGAAGGCGCTAAACGTGTCTCTCATTGTCAACTTTGCAAAAGCTTCGCAGAGAGAGTCCATATCTGATTCAAAGTTATATGACATGATTGATGGGTTAATCTTTTCTTTTCTACGGTATGTTCAGAATGATCTTCTGGAAAAGAAAAGACGGGTTGCTTTCAGACGCATTGTATTTATATACAGAAAAAGTCGTTGTTCTTTTCTTGATCTCCTTGTAGAACACATGTTTAGGACATCAAAACAGGCTTCAAAGTATTGGCGTATATGGTCCCGCACGTAAACGACACAGGAGTCAAATTAGTCGTTAAGCCTATCGCAACCCGCCAGGCATAAAGAAATACACCCTCTTAGGGTTTGGTTTATCTAATACATCGCAAGGAAATATCTCCTCTTACATAGGCAAGATCCGTGGATCTTCGGCAGAACAACGTCATGGCTGCATTTTATTACAGTAGTTGAGCCAGTGGCATCATAAAGAAGCTCTGTTCAGAGATTGTTTGGTGAGAGTTGGACCAACTGGCTTCGGTTGGACTGCTTGCTATTTGATAGTTGAGGAAACAATATAGGGACACTCAGCAGTCTACAATATTCAAGAGAAATAAAAACGATTTGGGAGTGAAAGAATTCGAATTCATGTGTAATGGCTAAATTTGTATGTGAAAGAGATTCTATGTCCGACTCGAGGTCAAGCACGATATTGTTCTCTGAACAAGTAAGAAACAACACTCGCTATAGAATTATAGATACCGCATCCCTAGCGTCCATATTTGACATTTGAATTATCAAACAGATACTTGAGAATACAATTTTAGAGTGATCAAGTCGCCATTTCTACAATCAGCTAGTAATCTACCAGAAATAGGGACCAACCTAGATTTATCACAAGATGTCTTCCAGAATACTACAAGAACACGAAGAGGAGAAAATCGCCACAGATTTGTTTCAAGACCTGTTCAGAATGTCACTACAACGCCAAGATGAAAACAAAGTCGACGAGGTCGGCGAGCAAGAGCTGAGTCTTTTCGTCACCCAAAACGATGATATTCAACAGTCGATCTGGAGTGAGATTCTGGCACCAGAAGATAAAGAATTGACAGATGAATTCGATTTCAGACTCTACGCAAGATATCCGACCGATACAGTCGAAGCCCTCGGTGAGAGCGTGCATCAAATTGAATTCATCACGATGCCATCCAAAATCATTCCTGGTTTCAGCCAGGGTGCACGACTCAACATGCCCCTCATACAATATCTCAGAGCATGGCATCAAGATCACGAGGAACCTTTTCCTTTTCAAAATCTGACCCACTGTATCATTGAAGATCCTGCTTGCCACCCCACGGTTACAGGCCACAGATTGTTCTCATCTGAACATTGTGCATATGTACGTAAACAAGTCGTGGGATTTTTCCGAGAGGAGAATCGACGACACCCTGAAGTCAGGATTCCCAGAGTTACCGCTTTCACCCAGCGCACAGGACCTGGCAAATGCAGTGATTGCAAGGCAGAGGTCAGACGAAGACGGCTAGGAAGATTGTTGGGGCATTAGTTAGAAGAAGGTAATTCCATCTTCTGATTGTGTCTCATATTTCAAATCCCCGATCTATCAACCTGTGTTTCGACCTTGAGCATCTCTCCTTACTATTTCCTTGGCTCTGAGTATTTCTTTCTACTGTTTCCTTGGCTTCATTGAATCATAATCCATTTCCTTTTCCATTATTATAATCTTTTCTTTCCCCTTGATTTTTCCCTCCTGTATATCAAAACTTAGTGACCCTGATATGAAGTAAAACTGTTACTGCACCTAAGCAGAAGCCGCGTGGTAAGATGTGAACAGTCTGCAGGAAATTCTAACTCAAAATTTATATGGAGCGCGAAGTCTTCAACGTAACATGCGTCCACTCACAAATACTGTCAGATAATCAACCGAAAAGTAACTTTGCTTCAAATCGACCTCTTCGCTCGCGGATTATTACTGATTCAGACAGAGCATATTGTAAAGTCTTTTCATTCCAGTAAATCCAAAAGTCGGCCTGAACACTATGAAAACATACATCTAGACTCCGCGCAGACTCCAATCCATCACAGCCCAATCTTCAATTCCATTAGCACACGAAGCTCAATACTCGCGATTTGAGACTCTTCTCCTCTCTTTCCAAAAGTGGCCCAATCTCTCTCTTTCTGGTGGAAGGGGAAGACAATCAATTGCGAATCCATTTTCGAAGAGTAGTAATGTCATCTGAAGTCAATCTGATATTACCCCATGAAGGTTCAATTATCGTTTCAATTTTCTTACCATTTCGATCAGCTTGGAGTTTCTCATTTTCTAGCTGTTTTCATTCATTATCCTCTCTTCTCTCTTCTCTCTTATGAGTTGGTAGACTTCATCCTTTCTCAACCTCAAGGGATGAGGAGGATCTGTACACGCCAACCATTACACGCCTATATCTCCATCATCTACCAAATAAATCCCGTTCTTGTAGAAAAGGTATAAATCTCTTATCATACAGTCTAAATGATGCTCAGCATTGTTGATTTTGATAAGAACCCCTCGACGCCCAACTAATAAGATCAGACTAAATTGTGAGCCTCAACACCATCCGTCACCCAATCAATGCACAATCTGATTTACAAGCTTTTTCTTTTGAATGTGTCTCAAGACTTTCATGTCAATTTAAACCTCCGCTGATATGACAAGTTGGTGTTTCCAATCCTCTTTCGTGGTATCTGACCTTCTACCTATCTAGCAAGCTACTTCTACTGCCTCATTAAAGACATTCAAAGTTCTATATTTCTGCGACTTATTTCATTGAGTATACCTTCAGTTCTTTATTGATTATTCGTTGATTTATTGATTAATCTTTGTTATCATGTCGCCTAGCACTATAATGACATTGTTTATCGTGAGAGCAATTTACCGGTGAGTAGTTTGACAGCACTGGCGGACATCTTCCCATCTGAGCCAGCAATGGAAGTTTATATCTAACATCATCGGTAGGTCGTACCTTTCCATACCAGTTAGTAGCTAATCAGCTGTTCCAGAATGTCAAGAATCGGGTGCGTTCGAGGGGCACGGAAATGGAAATTTTATCTTTCAAAGGCCATTTCGCAGAAGAAGTCGTCAAAGAAGTCCTTAAAATAACGGATATAGGAAAGTTTATTTTCATTCCCGGCAACTACCACCATAAGATTCATGCTTTCGCTAGTTAGCAGCTCATCGGTGAGTGCGCCAAGGTGTTTTTTTTTCTCAATGAGTTTGCCAGAATTTGAAGCTAGCAGATAGCTGACCGGATGGTGCAATGGACAGTGAAAGGAACGAACTGAAGAAAGAGAACAACAGTTGGAGAGTTATTTTTGTGCAACATCATTATACGACTATTATGAGCATTTCTTCATCTTTCTTTCAATTACAAGTGGACGTTTCCAATTGCCTTGTCCTCAAGACTGATTCATCCTCCAAGGTCTTCCTTTGTGTACCATAACAAAGGTTCCTTCTCCTGTCTATTCTCCTTTTTCTGTCCTCAAAGAATGAAGGATTGTTAATGACAAAGCAATTGGAACAGAGATCGCTCACCGCGAAAACAACAACACTACAAAATCCTTAAACGAAATATAAAAGTAATGGGTATCCGTTTGAATCATTTTAATACAGAATCATTCAGCTACACAGTTACTTCATCAATACTCAACAATAAGCATCATCATTAGTATACACAGAACCACAACGCACTCTACCCAACAAACCCGCAATTTACTATACACGATGGATACATTCCAAGACTTGTCAAGCCTGGCGCTTGAGTTCCAAGTTGAATCAACAATCAAATCTCCCGGCGAGCCTGAGGTTATCAGAAAGCGAGATCAGTTCAAAAATGCCTGGCAAGAGTTAGCGGATATGACACTAGATGTCGAAGACGAGACTGACAATAACAATCCCCAACAATCTCAAGGTCCTACAGAATTTCACACGAAATTCCACCTCTTCCCTAAGCTCCCATTGGAAATTAGACGAATGATCTGGGGACTCACTGTAACTCCGCGTGTGATTGCATCCAAGAATTGTTTATTGCCTATGGAAGAGGCAAACTACGCGAATGATGGGGATCCACTGCCGTTGATTCCAAGAGCTCTTTGCCCTCTCAACATTGTACCTTACAGTGGTATGCCCGCTGCATTTTGGGCTTGCTTTGAAAGTAGGAACGCAATCGCTGCATATTATCACAACATTGCTGTTGTGCCCAAGGAAATTGAATTCAAGCACGGAAATTTGCCAATAGGAACACTTGAAAAGTATCGCCCTGCAAAATTCTCAGACTTTTATCGTATAGATAAACAGACCCGTGAATTCGAAAGCATTCGCGAAGAAACTTTTTCATTTCCTTTGCAGCCATCCGTTCCTTTCAATCCAGATATAGATATCTTCAATTTTGACATCCTCGGGTTTGATGTAGACGTGGTAAATTATCACCTAGCGGAAGCTAACCTTCTTTACTTCCAAATTCCACTGCCTGCAGATTGGAAGCCTTGGCGTCACGTAGATGAGGAGATGGCAAGCTGGTTGATCCATCCTTGGGCTGTCAAAAGAGTTCAAATCACACCAGAATCACAATTTTGGTCGATTTCCAAGCACGACTTTACCAATGGCTTAGTTCTTCCAATGGAACCTGTGATTTTTTCAAATTTCATCTTCCAAGATCTTGATGAATTCATTCTTCAAGATGCCGACTGTCTACTTTACCACAAGTTTGACTTGCCCATAAATCGAAACCATTGGGGTAGATATCTTATGAGGATGTTCAGAGTTGAGGCCTCCCATAATGAATTTGCAGCCATGAGAGCAGGCTCCAAATTCAAGATACCAAAAGTCACGATTCTGCCTGGTGCCAAAATTTCAAAAAGATGTAAGCATTGCATTGAGAAACAGAGACTCGCCCGGGAAATTTTCGTAAACATAAAAGACTACAAGTATCGGCAAAAACAGAGGAATCTCAGAATGGTTGAGAAATTTGGCAAAGACAAGGCTTTGTGGGTCTACTCTCGACGCTACTGGTAAGTAAGTCGAACCTCCTTCATTCCTTTTCGTTTTATTTCATTAGTCTTTTCTATCAAAACAGTCAGTAAAACAATACCCAAAAAATTTCACATATTTCCTAATAAACACTTTCTTTCTAATTATACGTACTCCAAGTGAAATCAAATCACCTTCTAATCTGCATTTTCCATTGATTTTCCATTCATGAACCCATTACCGAAACGTAAAACTCCCAATTTTGGAGCTTTGCTTGAAATGCTAACAGCGCAAAGCTTTCGCTTGAAACTTTCCTCAACTCGATCGCCCCTACTCTATCCCTTGCATTTCGTCTCTATCCAAGTTCTAAATTTCCCAGAAACGATGACTCAACCAAAATCCGAGTTTCTTGGTAAGTGTGACTAATAATTCCATGATTCCGTTTTCGTCTTCGCAATACTTTGAGACGTTGTAGTAGAGTACTTACAGGCCCACATACGTGTGGGAGAGTTGTAAACACCGACAAGAAACATAAACATGCCACTACACGTATCTTATTATGATAAGACACCATCGAGTTCTTGTATAGGATCAGAATCCAGAAAGTAATCTTTTCTGCTGCTTTGGAAAATCACCCCATCCTTGTGAATTCACTGGATTCGATTCTGAGCGTATGGGTGTCATTTAAGTCGATTTGCATCATTATTTCTGGAATACCAGAAGTTTCATACTAAGTTAACAGCCCTCTATTGGATTTCTTTAGTCATTAGTTATACAAGTAACATCGATCACTAAGGTTGTTACTTCCAAATTCTATTCGTGTCAGTCAGTGATTTGATGACACCGATACTCAGTTCTTTGCAAGAGATATGGCATCACTTGCCTCGATATGTTTAAATGCAGTCACAAAAGTATTGATTCAACTGTCCTCACAATCACTTGCGGGTAGTGTATTTAAATGTGTTAATAAAGTCTCGCTCATTGCTAATCTCAATAAAGCAATCACAAAGCTCCAATGTCACATCCTTCATATCCTTCATATCCTTCATATCCTTCATATCCTTCATATCCTTCATATCCTTCATATCCTTCATATCCTTCATATCCTTCATATCCTTCATATCCTTCATATCCTTCATATCCTTCATATCCTTCATATCCTTCATATCCTTCATATTGCCCTTCCAAGAAAACATAAACCCGAAAACATCACTTAAATGTGTTGAAACAATGCAGATTGCTGTGGCGAGGAAATCTTCTTGAGTGGGGCTTAATACTCATAACGACCCCAGCTATTGGGTACTGAGTGTATATTGGGGTCTGGAGGTGTTATTCGTATAGCAGTTTGATTCGAATCATGGTGATGACGATAATGACTGGCGGAACTGGATCTTCTCCGACGACTTGATTCTTCATGCGGTCGCGTTGGATGGTCACCGTGGGATGAACGGCGGTGACGTGGTCTCTCTCCCGAATCTAGCGCACGGGTTGGTTCAAGCCAGCCATTACTGTTAGAACGGGGCCTACTTCCATCGGAGCCATACGATGAGCCGTCTTGAGCACATTCCGATGTATTTTGGGACCATTCTTCGATCTGTTCGAACCAATTTTTGGGCGCAAGAAGCTCATTTTTCTCTCTCTCGAATTCTTCTTTCGCTTTTTCAAGTGAAGCCTCTCTTAATGAGATCGTAGTTTTCCTTATTGAGATCTCAACTTTCTGACCTTCAAGATATAAGTTCATAAAAGCATTTCGTTCTTCCTCTTCGGCCACTTTCATCTCCCTCTCGGACACCATTCTTTCGCGCCTTGCAAGCATTTGTGTGTCGTGACCTATCTCAGAGATGTGCCGGTGGCATCTGCAATAGTCAGGGCAATCACGAATACAGTATTTAGTTTTAGTTTCCTCTTTCTGTTCAATAGATGTTAGTGATATTTGTGCGGAAGCGGCAATGGTCACTTACTTTGTGAACGTGTCCTCGAGAGCACTTGAATGTTTCTTCGTGAGAGGCTTGCATGGTTGATCTGTTGGTTTTTGTTTATTGAATTATGGTCTTTGTTCTTAGTTTTAAGTCTGGATTAGAAAAGTTGTTGGTTTGGGTTTTGATTTGGTTTCCAGACTGGGCTGGGGAAGGGTAAGGACATTCAACCAGTTAGTCTTGGCTCGCATAATATGAATTATGAATATTTGATCTGGCGGATTCATACATGATTATGCACAGAGTCAGAAGATTTAGTTCTCTGCTGACTCAATCTAAGTATCTATCCTAACACACAGTCATCTAGTAAAAAAGTTGTATTCGAGTCATACAAGAGCGCATCTTTTGCAATTTACTTCCAGTAGTGATTAGAATTGTACACGCAATATACCGACTTCGATTCTACCATACTGCGAATCACTGCTGCAACCTCGTAAAAATGCAGTGCTGAAATTATTCTACCTTATGAAAATGATCACTGATCGTCAATCAGTTGCCTTTCCTTTGCGATCCACTTCTCTGCTCCACTCCCTACACAATCCTTCGCCATACATGCCGCACTCCCCATCCACACTTCACCTACGCGCACTCGGCGACCTTTTCACATTCTCGACAAACCAAGTGTCCGCACTCTTCACACTTGTTCTCCGCAAGCGAATTCTTCTTCTTACACTATCAAGTCATAATCAGCAAGAGCTCGCCCCATCACTCCATTCCTCCCATAAATAAAGGAAATATAACCTACCAGTCTCTTAACAGCACTCTCCGTCATACTTCTCATGCTATCCAAAACCTTGGCTTCTTCGGCTATCTTACTACAGCAAGTCCAATAAAACCCATAAAGATGATTTAAACTCGAATTTTTTGGACAGGAGGTCGAAGTTGGTTTCATACTCGGTGCAGAACTTAAATTCTTATCCCCATTGCCGATTTCCACTCCCGGGCGAAAATTGAGTCCAGTGAATCCCTTCATGACCCTATCGCTCTTTCGCTCCTTTTCAGGACTCAGGGTATCTTGTCTGGGTAAAGGTAATGGACCTTGGAATTGTGGTTTATAAATTGAGGTTGGAGATCTCAACGGGGCGAAGTTGGGGGGGATTCGGTAGAAGGTATCCGAGTCTGGTACCATTAATAATGATGAGGGGGTGAATGGCGTGCTCATATCTGCGTCCATTTTTGTTCTTGGGCGTATTTCAGGACAGAGAAAAGTTATTTGGCTGATGTTTTGATAGTGGACGGAAGATGGAGGATAATGTAAGTTATGTCGGTTGCTTGCCTGGAGTTCTGAAGATTTGATATGTGAAGATATTTTATAATATTTTGAACAGGTAAGAGATCACAAACAGAGAGTGATCTAAATAGAAGAATACAAATCTGTACAAAAACATGATGGTCTTACTAGCCGTACCTGGCTACATTTGCAAAGTAGATGCCCGTACGAAGTCAGTACTGCATTGCAAGACGAAATATTACACGAAGAACAAACCAGCTAGCAAATTCATCGGATTTCGATGCCGTATAATTGTTGTACTATCAATGCTAGTTATCCATTACCCTTCCTACCCTACCTCCTATGTAGCTCCTCGCTTATCATTCTTGACTCTCCACTATTCTCTCTACACTATGTAAGTGAGCGTGAATTTCGACGGAAGTGTTTTTGCTCATGTGTTCCTAAATAATCTATTGTTTTGGTTAAAATAGATCTCGTCAAATAATCGTGAAACTCCATGTTAGTAAGTTTGGTAGCTGGAAGTGCTCTCGCTTGTGATGGAGATTTGTATCCAAAATTCTGGTACCTATGCAAGATGGTAATGGAAAGTTGAATTTAATCTGCTTTACCCGTATGGTAATCTGGGCTTCCCAGCTGTTGTAAAGAGCTACAAATCGATAAAAGAGAATCGTTGAAAGGTTTACATTTTGGCCGGAATTCTGAAGAAAAAAAGAAAAGTGGAGAGCAAAACGAGACTAATAGTGTTAGGCAATCTTGTGCCGGGCTGAAATGTGTACAGAATGCGGGAAGATTAGTTTGAGAAGACTTCACCACTGGAGATGAAGGAGGGAAACACTTCATACTTCATACTTCATACTTTATCAGTTGAAAACTCTTCGACTTCTGTTTTAGAAAGCTGTACAGAAACCTCTCACAGCTTTACTTAATATATTTACTCTTCAAAGTATGTAATCCATATGTGTTATATGTAGCTGGCAGCAAGATTGCCAACATCGGCTAGCTGTAAATTGGGTGCTGGTGACTGCGCTGAGTCGATCCAATTCTCCCAAAACTTCACTCCTTCTATACTTACTTCCCTACATAAAGCACCACTTTCCTCAGCCATTTCAAGCTCTTCTTCAGCTACTCCTATGCTCCATCCAAAACGTTCTGCGGCGTCTTGTGATGTAACCCCCTGACCAAATTCTTGCCAGTCCCATGGCACTTCCTTCTCCGGTGGGAATACGTGCAAATCTCTCAACCATGCCAGCAAAGTTTTGATTGTCTTTTCGTCAGTCCTATCACTGCCTTGGACCACTAGTACTCCACTACGAAACTGTCTCAATCTTACAGGAAGCTTCAGCTTCTCCCACAATCTTGCAGCCTTTTCGAAGTCCAACGGACTAACGAGTTCAACGCCACCCCGAGCACGGTTGAAAGTGGCCCATAGATCAACCAGACTAATAATGCCTCCAGTCTTGCGCAGGATTCCTCTAGCATCATCTGTGAGAAATTCTGCAAGATTCCTTGACAACTCCGAAATATACAATGACTCAGAATTGCTCCCACCACCAAGCATATCTTTCGTCGTTACCAAACCAAGGGCACTTGCAACTGCATTAGATTCAGTATTTCCATTCGTGTTATTACTGCTGGCAAATGATTCGGCAAGAGCAATAATCTCTTTGGCCGACGCCATCAATGCGTCGAGATCCTCAAAAGCATTTCCTATAACAAGTTCATTATTCTTACGGACTTCAAGACGTCTTTGCTCCAGGCCTGCGATTCCAACCGTTTTCGTCCGCTCACCATTTGGTGTAGAACTACCCGAGCCTGATCCACTGTCTGTCCTAACATGACGATTGGTTTTAGGTATCGGGGGAGCATTTTGAAGAAGCCATTTACGCTGTGTCATGGATGATTTGAGACGATCGAGGAACAATTTTTCTCCACCACCTCGAAATGATAATTTGATGCTTTCATTTGTTTCCGTCCCAGGAGCTGGCAGATTATTCAATGTAGGGCCTGGGGACAACATACGTCGTTGTGAGGGACTTATTCCGGTTGGGAGGTCTTGTGACAGTAGTGGAGCCCCACAAAGCTCACAAGCCATGAGCGATGGATGGTTTAAGAACGTGCATCTAGGACAAGCAAAGGATGCCTCATTGGATCCACCTGAAGGAGACTCGTCCTGGTCAACTCCAAATTGACTTGAGGGTGTATCCCAAGAATCAGATTGCGGACGAGGGGCATCTGGCCGACCTCTCACTGGTAAGGGTGTTTTAACCGGGGTTGTAGTAGTGGGAGTTGGTCTGTTGCCCGCACTCGATATAGCTGCCTTAAGAATAAGAGCAAACGGAGGTTTGATACCACATGCTAAGCATGGGGGCAAAGGCGTGTTTGCATTAGATGTGACTGGATCGAAATTCGAGGGGACGGGATTCGAGAAAGAACAGATTGGACAAATCCATGTGGCACTACTTGCGGGTGTAGGCTCGGAAGCTGGCAGATGGAAAGGACTATCGGTTCGTGATAATGGAGATGATGTTTCACTTCGATTTTGGACAGAGGATCGTTTCGAAGGCTTCGGGACAAGAGTAATCTTGGCGGATGATTTCAAGAAACCAGCCTGTAACAATGTTAACTATGTATAGCCTCAAGAATATAGCTAGTAGCTCTTACGTAAAACTCATAACGATCAACGTCTTTGAGATCTATTGCTAGAGAATTCCTTCTTGGATCATCATTGTCTACATAACATATTCGATGAGATGTCAAGTAGACCTGACCATTCTGATGATCAGGAATTTTGTATTTCCTATTTACAATTTAGGTAAGCATGCCTCTTTCTCATATTGCTTGCTTGAGCAAACACTTACCCCTCATAAAGCCCAACATTGTCTTGGACAAAGAGGTTGAGCTCATCTGGCAAATAGAAAGGCCTCAAAGCAGTCGTGAGGTCTAAATGTTTTAAAAACATTCGTCCACGCAAGCCATGTACTGAGAGTTTTTCTGATATCTGTCTAAGGACAATGCAGTGCACATCTGCTGGGAACGATGAGGACAAACGATTGCAGCATCTGCAGGTCCTTGTGGAAGGTTAAGACAATTCACATTCACTATCATACCCTTATCATGATGCAATCATCACTGCTGTAAATTGGGCAATCCTGACTACTTGGACTACCGTAGCAAGTTTTTCCGCCTTTTCTAGCTCGTCTCGTGACTGATCGATAGTAGAACAACTCATTCGGTTAATTGTCCATTTCAACCCGGGCAAACCAGCCATTCTTACAAAACATTCCATCACTTCACAACCTCGAAAACTATTCTAGAAAAATTCAGATACATTCTACACACCATTTTCTCAAGAACCTTTCTTATCAAAGACCCAGTCGCGTTTCTTGTATCGCATCACTAATATCTAAGAGCGTAAAAGCATAAGTTCTATATGTACAATACGATGGCTTCACCATGGAACTCTAATATTCCACCGCCTCCAGGTACGACAGGCTCATATGGCTATCAGCAAGGTGAGCAATCCTCTTTTCTACCAAAATCCATATTCTGGTTTCTGACAAAAAATCTACAGTCGCGCCGATAGTTGCCCCAGCTTATCATCCAGTGCAAGTTCGACAATCATTTAATCAAGCCCCACCCATAATATATAACCCAGCAGTAATCCCCCAGCAATCACCCCCTCAATCAATACCACCTCCTGTCCAGAAGAAGAGAGACTGGCCACAGTCAGTTCGTAATTACGTTCAACGTTCATTCGACGTCGCGCATGCCATCGCCGGTATTGAGCGTCCAGACATGGAAAACATGTTGAAAAAGACCATCACCGAGGCATCCGATACCGATACACTCTTCTCCCGTGATTGGGATAATTATCCACTTCCTCAACAATTAATACAAAGAGAACGTTCAAAGGCAGCCGCTGCATGGCAGCAGGAATCATTAAATTTTCAACTAGCTACGACCGGTCTCGCGAATTCGACCAAGAAGAGGAAATCTATAGAAGGAAGCAGTGATGAGAACCTCGCAGCAATGCCGCCGTGGCGTGCTAACAACCGCGCGGGAAATGATGATCGTGCCAATTTAACACCCTCCAAACAACGATTTGATAAGCGACAACAACCATTCCAAGACGATCTCTCCCACAAAGGTACAAGTAAGTTTCAGAAAAACCTAGAGAAGCGACAAAAACGATTTGATGGTGGCTACAAATCTACCTATAAATCTAAGACACCGACACCAGAACCAATGATGGGACCCTTGATCGGTACGAATACAACGTTAGAAAAAGAGTACTTCCGTTTGACTACTGCACCCGTTGCTTCACAGGTTCGCCCTGAGTACATCTTACGGGAAACGCTAGATCTGTTGAAAAAGAAGTGGAAAAAGGAAGGAAACTATTCTTATATCTGCGACCAATTCAAATCTATGCGACAGGACCTCACGGTTCAGCGTATCAAGAATGAATTTACTGTCACTGTCTACGAAATTCACGCGCGTATTGCATTGGAGAAGGGGGATCTCGGTGAGTATAATCAATGCCAGACTCAACTTCGGGCCCTTTATGCCCAGAAGATTGGTGGTAATCCCGTGGAGTTTAAGGCATATCGTATTTTATATTTTATTCACACAGCTAACCGCACGGCATTGAATGATGTCATTGCGGATCTAACAAAAGCAGAGAAGGAATCCGAAGCGGTAATACACGCATTGAGTGTACGTTCGGCATTAGCATTGGGCAATTATCACAAATTCTTTAGACTCTACCTCGATACTCCGAATATGGGAGCATATCTCATGGATATGTTTGTCGCCCGAGAACGTTTGGCTGCTTTGTCGAAAATTTGCAGAACGTAAGTTAATCCAATGGTAATCGATTTAAAGAGCCAACTAACACATCGTAGTTACAAACCCGAGGTCAAATTAAGGTTCGTCACGGAAGAACT